CAGGTGTCTTTAGCTGAAGAAGTGCTCAACTTGAGCCAGCTTGTGTGTGCATTGCAGAAAGGGGCCAGTGGAGCCATGAAATCCAACCCTCAGGGGCCTCGCTGGTTCTTCAAAGCAATCGACTATGGAGAGTTCAAAAAGAATGAGCAGGCTACTGTGACATCCTCCGATTTCAAAATCACAAAAACCTATGCGCTTGCCATCAAGCCAGGGCGGAACAATCCTCTACTCTACAATCTGGTGTATAGTGATTGCGCTATGCAGAACCCAAGCTGTTTCTACAACATTGTGACTGAGCGGACTGAGACTCTAGAACGTTGGAAGAGAGCATACATGGAGGGGCCGAGATCCTGGGAGCTTGAGCCTCCCGACCCAGGTGATGAAACAATTTTGTGTAAGAAGTTTAAAGCGCAGAAACACAAAGAGTCGAGATTGTTCAAGCCAGTCAAGACTTTTCACGACAAAGCAATGGCACGAGCACGAAAAGCTGCAAAAGATAAAGTCAGAGTCAGACTGGAACAGAGATTGCAAACGTTGAAGGGCGAGGAATGCGAACATGAGACCTCGAGTTCCTCTTCGAGTTCTTCTTCGAGCTCAGTATCCAGCTCCTGAGAAAAAGTGTCTCTGAGTGTCTGTGCGCCAAAACCTGGTAAAACGATAAGAGCAAAAAAACGATAACATGTTTTCGCGTGTAGCGAATTGATACGGGGTTTCTATACAACCCCATATGGCATACATGGAGTGTCTGGGATAGGAAGTGATTTGGATCCGTCATTTGTTGCAGGACAATTCCATCAAATGCCTCGCTATTGAGGTGAGTCTTTTGGACGATGGACGATGTGCCTTGGTTTTTGCATGTTTCCGGCTTGCCATCAGTGCATTGGCTTACGAGCGTCACAAAGGGTGTCGTGGGTTGTTCCTTTAAATTGGAATTCGGGCGAATGCATGTTCCAGTCTTCAGCAACAGAATGCCAACTTATATTGGTCCAATGACACATGGACCCGCACATACTCTTGGTCGGAGCAAAATATATGGATGACCACCCAGGACACCCACGCACACAGGATTTGCATGGATGTTCGCTTCATGGAACATGGCCCCAGCTTGTAGAATTGCAAGAAAAACTTCATCCGGGGCTTGTAGAATTGCATGAATCTGTGATTTGTTCATCTTCCAATAGCCTCTACCCAAAAGCGGCCACCGCGCGACGGTGGCTCCCCGGATGCTGCGTGGTCAGGCGGGCGCCCACCAGCAGTCGCCGCAAGACCTCCGTCTCCAGTTGCACCCAGTGCCTGGACCGAGGGTTCTTTGGGACTGGTGTCAGAACAGTGGGACCGGCGGTGTTCACCGGTGGGGACATGTTGTAAAGGGCCTTGAGACGGATGACGGATGGGCGCGGTCAGAGCTTTCCTTTTTGTACCTTTGAAGGCTTTGAGATCCACAGACGAAGGCGTTGAAGGTGCAAGTGTCCGACCAACGCGGGGACGTTGGGATCGGAACATGCAGTCTTTGGAGTCTTTCAGTGGAGAACCGAGGGACGTGGTCGCTTGTTTACAAGCCATGCCAATCCAGTTTGGGGCGTTGACCGATCATGTTCAGCCACCTCGGGGAGACTGAAGAACCGCTGGCCAGTGTACAGTGGGTTGAGAGTAGATGGCACAAACCCCAAGATACTTTTGGGGGTTGTGCCATCTACTCTCAACCCAGCGTAGACCTTTAACTAACCCCTCTCAGACAAGGATTGTAAGACCTCTTCCATCAATCCCGTCCGCCCATCCGCAGGGATGCGTAAGACGCCACCGTGGACACACAGGTCACACCGGCTGCCAACTTGTAAAGACCTCCTCATCTTGGGGGGGGCGCCACCGGCCATTTTGGAATCCATCCAGCGTGTTTGCACTCACCTTCTTGGGAGTCCACGATGGTCCACCCCAAGAAGAGTCGACATGTTGAGCTATAGTGACCCACTGATGTCCGACTCAGTCCGACTCCAGTCGCTCCTTGACCACTTGATGTCAGCAGCGAGTTCGGGGTGTTGAACGGATGTGAAGTAGAAAGCCCATCATTCGGGTGGTGGTTTCAGATATTTCTATTGTTCAACCTTTACTTGGGGATCATTGAACCGACTGATATGTTTCAAGTGAGTTGAAACCACCTGACATTCTTTTAGACCATTTTAGACACTATAGGACCACTAAACCCTCCAAAAACCTATGGCTGATATTGCTGGGTGGTCTTGGTGTGGTACTTTAGCATACTTTCGCCATGTTTAGCCCCAAGCCTTGGGTGTTGCAAGATCCCATGCTTGTGTTGCAACACCCCAGGTCCGCCCTCATGGGCTTGGCCAAGAAGGGCAAGGCGTGGGATAGCCACGTAAAACACCGGCGTCCCGCCGTGGAGTCGGACAAGCTGAACGCACATGAACACTCAACACCCACATCTAGGCCCTAAGGCGCTCCAGTCGCACCTCCAAGGCTCGTATTTCGAGAACCCACCCCAGTCCCACCTTCTTGGAAGGTATTACTTTTCAAGGAGTCGCCTGATGGAGAGAACTGCCAAGTCCCATCCGTGCAACCCTGGAGACCGACCTAATCCTCGGACGCATGCAGGGGGTCGGGGGTGTTCAAAGGCAGACGCGTGGCTCCTGAATCGGTGCTTGAAGAAAGGGGAATCAAACATGTAACATAGCCCAAAAGCATCCAAAAACAATACACTCGGCCCTGGGGATGCAGGCCCGGGACTCTTCTTCTCTCCGCTCGCAAGAGAAAGGTGTGGAACATCCAGACCTTCATCAAGCCTCCCTATTTGGTGTTATTCATGGGTTTCATGGTTTGGTCAATCACCTTCATGCAACAATGAAGAACCGCTAGAGGGAAACACTGTTGACAGTCTGGGCCCAACGACTTTTTGTCCCAAAACGGTGTTGTTTTCTTTGTTCGGAGTGTGTACTGAGCAGCTTCTTTCACCAAAACACAGCCAGGGAAACCCCCTCAACATCCACCAGAGGATGTCAGTCACAGAGTCGCAGATGCAAAAAAAGAAGTTAACATGTTTCTGGCACACCAAGACACATCCAGTGCCAGGTGGCTGGAAATCGCATTAACCTGGAAGCCCTGGAGAGTTTGTTTTCCTGAGGAAGCGTTCCTCCCTCGCAGATTCAGATTACCAGCCATTTTTGTGTGGCACCTTGTTTGAACAAGCAGAGAATGTGATGTTGATAGCTTGGAACTAGAAACGGTCGGCAGATGGCTTTGGGGAGGGACAAGGGAAGGTCCATTTCCCTTCTCTTTTTCGATGAGGAAGTAAGCACACAGGGGATTGAGGAAGTAGGCACTCGACGTGCACTGACACCGTCGCCCTGCGGCGTTTGAAACTTGTAATGCTCTAATAGAGGGTACATAAGGGTACTTGTCAAAGCAACTGGAACTTCATAGTTGCAAGCTGGACATGCCATCTTGATCTGCGAGGATGTATTTGGCTGCACGGCCGTATCTTGGGGGCCGCAGGCCACATGCGCATGAGGAGATCAGGTCATCAATGACCTGAATGCAAACACTACTTTCAACCCATACCATCTAATGGATGCCCAGTGACTAGAGCCCGCAAGTAGTGTATAGGGTGGTCGATTGGGGCCCCCTTGGATGATTGGATGGAGGCATCTCTAACAGTTCAAGGCATGAGGACAAAAGGATGATTACCAGGTAATCTCAGGCAGGGGCAAGTAGGCAGGACCAGTAGGCAGGGCATGGCAGGGCTTTTCAAGTTTCAACAAACGTTAAACCATACTACAAGAACCATTATATTACTAACCTGATAGGAACAGGCATGCTGCATCATGACGTGACATGGGTTTATTTTGCACATGTTTTTCTGGGGTTCCCCCACAGGGATTTCTTACTAGGGCGGCTCTCCTGTTTGCAGGAGCTAAACTCGAGCTACACACTCATGTTGAATGATTCAATGCATTCTCACAGGAGAAACACCGAAATTTATTCAACTGATAGTGCATGGGGTGGACCGGACCTCCCATCACCCTCCCGTCCTCCCCCACCAATCAGTTGCAGAGCAAGCGCCCCAGAAGCAGCTTGCTGTGAGGTGACTCGTGAATTTTTTGACTCAAAGAGCTCTTTCATCGAGGTTTCTCTTTACTGGATCGCGGTTAATTCTGCTTCACTTTGAGGGTTATTAGAAGCCACTTGATTCCATACAAGGCATCTGAGCTTGCTTGTAGCATTTGCCCAGAAGTCCATGTGCCATGGTCCACTTCGTCCTTCTTTCTCCCATGCGTCCGAGCGTTCTGCGTGACCTCCGTGGTGGGCGAACGACGTCTCCCCGCGCACCATCCAGGGCGGTGGTTGCAACCGTGCGGGGGATGGTGGTCCTGTACAGCCTTGAGCCCGAAAAGAGAGGAGCGTAGATGGCGGGAGATGGGTGCCAGAAACAGTTGGGATGGCATTGTATAGCAGCCCCTCTCCAAGCACGATTCGGAAGTGGAGAACTCATGAGAGTAGTATGTATATAAGGGAATCAATTGTCCAAGCAGAGAATACAACAAGCAAAGCATGTTTCTCGAGCTGACCCGTGGGTGGAGTGGGAGATTGAGGATGAGATGTGTTTTTCGGATTGAAAAGACAGGTTCCAGGACCTTCAAAGTGACCGAACTTGAGATCCCAGTTTGAGGTCACTTAGTCCAGAGGTCACTTGCAGACTCCAAAGAGGTCACGAACTGAAGGTCCTGGTTCATGTTTATCGTGAAGTAGACCGAGTGCTCCGGATCAGTTCTTAAGGGGGGGCACTCGACGTCATGTGCTTCCTGACCGTCTTGAGAATTCCCTGGATGTATCCTTATGGTGTGCTGCTTTAGCACAAGTTGCAAAGTACAAATATATATCACATTTCTTACTTTGCATTGCAACGGTCAAAGTTTTCTTTGGTTCGGGCAGCTTGGGGCAGCGCGGCAAACCTTTTGAATCATATTAAAAATTAAACTATTTTGATATTGAAAATAGGGTTTGATGTTGAGCCAAACTGTGGCACTTGAGCCCTCGCCTTTTTCTTTTTGGGGCTGCTTCGGCCGCTTTTGGAACCGAGACTTCCTCTCAGCCGCAGCCCGCTCAAACTGCCTTCCCTGCTCCTTCACTGCGATGCCGGAGCCCGGGAGCCCAGCGCCGGTCGACCGGCGAGTGACGGTCGGGTGAGTCGGTTGTTGAATAGCAGAGCTGAAACTTTAAAGCATGGCCGAGGGCGGGGGGGGGGGTGTCCATGTTGTGTCTGATCGAGGAATGAGAACGCATATTCGTCGTACTCAGTCGCGGATGCTTTGAACATCATCTGAGAAAGAAAAAATACAAAAATATAAGAAACAAAAAAACTGATTGCAGAGATTGAACACGAAGAAATCACTTGAGATTTGCAGAGAGGTGGAGAACTTGATACCTCCAGAGGCGGAGAGGTGTTGGTTGTTCATCTTCAGAGGTGTTGGGTTCTTCTTTCGGCACGGTGACTCCTGGTGTTTCGAACTCAAATGCCTCGGCACGTGACCGGCCGGGCCTCTTGAGGTTGAACACCACGGATTCCGGGTGTCCATTAATAGCCACTTAGAGGTCAAGGGGTGTCCATAAACCACCCTTTCTGTGGTCCTGGTGTGTGTTTTTACTTTAGTTCTCTTTTGGGGAGGAAGGAAGAACACCTCACCCAGTGGCCCAGTGGTTGGGTGGCTCCCTGCTTCGATGAGAACCAGACTTCGACTTCATTTGAGCGTCCGCCGACTGTCCGCCGGCTTCGCAATTTGGAAATCAGTTCCAAGCAGTAAAAAGCCAACAGGCTGAACTCGTCCCCAGCTTCTCAGAACCAAAGCAGGCTGAACCCAGGCCACCCAGGCTGTCGATGTTCGTATCCAAGCTGGCCTCAAACCATCGAAAAATGATGAAAAATGTCTCAAGCTGAGGAAGTTCAATCCTTAGCTTGAGGTCAGATTCGTGTGAAGCCATTTTAAGAATGCTTATATAGTTGTTGCTGAAAACCGGGTTGATGTGGTTCTTGAGAATAGTTTTGGGTCCTCACCAATATATAAGTACGTCGGCCCTTGCCAAGGAAATACGAGGATCACGTTCACAACCTCCTGTAGCAAACGGGGGCGAACGGCAGAGTCTTGCCTTCACTTGGGAAGGTTAACCATCTCCGGCATACTGTTCAACGACTTCAACTTGCCCACCCAAATCTCCTTCCGGGGACCCCCTCACAGCTTTGGGGTCCTGAGAGGTCTCCAAGAAAACCCACCAAAAGCATCCCAAAACGACAGCAGTTTTGCCGTTTCACTTCGATTGACGGACTTTCGGGGTGCTATTCGAAAAAAACGACGTAAGTGTCCGGCCCCAAAGTTGACCAATGAAAACACATCAATCCAGGGGTCTCCCCCCAAATCATAGAAACCGGTTCCAAGTTCATTGCTCTCTTAGGGGGATTGGGCTTGTTTATCTGGGATTTGGACCACTTTCTTCGTTTCCTGGGAGGTTCATGATGGATCAATCGGTTTTTGACACACTCAGAGGCTCCACACACCTCCAATGTTGGGGCGTCCCGAAGGAGGACCTCCAACTTCGAGAGATGCCCCCCTACTTTGGGTCTTTGTCCAACCGGTGTCCTTCACCATCCGCCCAAACCGTGCGGACCGGTGGCACGTCTCAGACGTATAGCGGGACCGCGTCTCGCGTCTCGCGCGCGGTCGAGTCTGTGAGGTCCTTCGAGCAGCTTCTGGATGCGTCCGATTTGGGGATGTCGCTGGAGCGAGGGTGGCGGGAACTGGAAGTGGCGGGGTGAAGCGAGGGGCGCTCCGTTCACAGCCGGAAAGCTTGTTTCTCGGTGCCTCAACACATCAAAGCCCCACAGTGAGCAGAGAATGCAGACTGGGTTTAACACCTAATTACATCTCTGTTCATTGCAAGTGGCCCCTCGTTCCTGAGCAAGTGGCCCTTTGGATGTGTTGTTTACCCATTATTTGGTGCAAGGGAGGGAGGGATTTTGCAAAATGATTTCATGTTGAAATGAATATGAATCCAGGCATAGTTCTCACACAGACAATATGTTACTACTGTACATAATGTGTGTATGATTATGTCCAAATGCTGCTAGGGTCTCAGCGATTTGTTGTCCGTCAAAGTTATGGAAACAAAATTTGAAGAACACAGTGAGACAGACGGACGGCAGACTGAACAGCTCGAAGTGGGTGAAAGCCATCTGCCCAACAAAGACTCAATGAAGTTTAAAAGCCCGTGAGAAGGCTTACTAGCTCAAGTCATGTTCAACTCAGCTGCTCAGGTCAACCCAGATGCAACCAGCAGCCCCCAATCCATCAGTTTTTTGCACACTCAAATTGGACTCAACGCAGACTGGCGCTAACATTCTTCTGCTGGCGGCTTTGCCCTAGATCTTGCTGCAGACAGAAGTGAGTGCGAATTGGTATTTGAAAGCGGAGGTGACACACCCTGCAGACCTGCTGCAGCCGTTGTTCAGCACGCTAGTCTTGAGGTCATTCAGGGACAGCTCCTGACGCAATCTCATCAAGGCAGGTTGCTTTTATCTGTAAGCCCAAAATTTGATTTTGAATTTTTGCAATGGGTTATTGAAAGCAGATTTTGACTTGAAAATAGCACAATTTCTATTGAGTGTTCGGTTGACTTCAGAAAACCTGATCTATTGAACTTTCGATTGATTCTTCACTCTCTAGTGAATCTTTTCAAGCTGGGAGCCTCTGGATGATCGCAGTTCCAGATGGTGGGTCAAGACCATCTCACTGTCCACAGTCCACTGCTCCTAGCTTGCCAGCCGGTGGGCACCTCAGTTGAACAGCCATAAGTTTAAGAAGCATGTGCCCTCAATGCAATAAGCATGGAAGTGGTCAACCCTGATGAATTGTAGAGGAGGAAGGTCCTTCCACGAGCCGTTGGCCACTGGAGAGAGGGCAATCAAACCGTCGCGTCAGTGTGTTAGACATCATGTTGCAATGTTGGAAGCTATTGGAGCGGAAAGCCTTGTCAAGAAGCGCCCAGCTGACTTTAGTGAGTCAGACAGCAAGAGCGCTGCTTGGTTAACTGTGAGGACGCTTGGTTTGAATGAGCTGCTACTGCTAGGCTTTAATGAATGGCACAAGTAAGTCTATGGCTCGGGGATCCCAGCGCGCTGGCAATGAAACTGGAGGCGGTTCAGCGCAGGCTGGGCTGCCACCAGTCTTACAGCGCGAGCATGCCAAGGCACAGCAGAATCTGGTACCGATCCTTTTCCCATGCTTCCGATGCAGGAATGACATCTCTTGCAGCTCAAATCATAAATGAAAATGACTTTCGATGGCACTGTTTGTTTTCATCGCGCAACATCGCGCAAGCGTGGGCAGCATGCTCTCCACCCCAGACTGCCCCGCCACTTCCGGCACAGACTGCACCCCAAGACTGGAGAGGAAGGCGTTAGACAGAGCAGAGTCTTCCAGTTCCAAGGGGCGCACGCACCGGGTCCTGACTCAAAGGGTAGGATCCGTTGCCGCTACTGGAAGGCAGTTGCCCCAAGCAGGAGTGGATGCACCAGCGTCTGGCGACGAATTGCTTGACCTGGCAGTTCTACGAGGACGGTAGGACGGTCGTCGCTCCTGGAAGTCTGCCACAAAGAAAGCTGAAGCAGCGAAAGAAGAATGTGAAGAGCAGTGGCGCTCCCGGATGCCGTGGTGTCAACTGATGCTTCCAGTCAACTGCGTGGTAAAGTCCCAGTTAACTGATGTCGCCTGGTACAAGGAGGGTGTGCTTGGAGACAAGTTCTGGCAGGAGAACTGGCTCAAGCTGCAACCGATACTCAGAAGTGTGCCTGGTTGCAGAGGATGCCAAGCTCCTGGATGCTGAAGCTGGAGAAGAAGAGCTCTGGGATCTACAAGAGCTACTTGGTGGAGGAACTCTAGAGGATGGATCTAGCTGGACAGCCAAGCAGGTTGAAAGACCCATGGAGATCGCAGCAGGTTGAAACATGAGACAAACATGAGGGCGGTGGCTGGATATGGCAGGCTGAATGCATACCAGTGTGGTGGCTGGATAGCCACAAGAAGAAAAGTAGTAAGGACAGTCTACTGGCAACAAAAATGGGTGAGGAAAATTTGGGAAACAAAAATCTGTTGGCTAAAGTTGTGAACCAACATTTTGTCATATTTGTTCCACTTAAACTAAAAAGTTGCGGCTGGATATTTTCATGTTGAGTGGGTGGTGTTTGAATGCCATGGCTAGCTTTTGGGTGGCTGGACAGGCATACCCCTCTGCTGGTTGGATGGCCAAAAAAAGTCCACAGGCCTCATGAGGATATAAGAGACAACACAACACATGAAAAGACGTGAAAAGATATGACAAGACATGAGTTAGTGGCGTGAATCCATCCCTGCAACTGCGGTCTCATCTTTGGGTCAATCTTCGGGTTCACAAGGACAACATAATGATACCTGATGTGTGGTTTGAGGGTGGGTTCAACCACCCCAACAACCATTTTGATGTAACACTGGCTTTTGCCAACTGACACTTCACACAGATTTTGCCACCTGAAATTTCACAGACCTTGTTTTTTTTTCTGAGATTCCACCGATTGGGAAAATCATTTTGTGTCCATGCTTCTCTTTCACATCGTTTCTTCCAAACGAAGAACATGGAACGCTCCAACGCCTCCGCGTGTTTTCCGCGTCGCAGGACGCTGAGGGCTACCAAGAGTTCTTGGAGGATGGAGAGTTTGGGTAGCACAACAGGTTTGTGAGTTTGGGTCTGACCGGAGAGTGAAGCATGGCCAGGCTGTATTCCAGTGGATCCAGTTAATTACCAGTAAGTAAAGGCAAACAGTGGTTTCAATTGTTTCATGTGCACTTGCACGGTCACTGCCCAGGCTCCAGGTGCATGGATTTTGCATTTGACTGCAGGTCTCTCCAGATCCTGACCATGTGAGCCAATATACTATACTGTCCCCAAGGATCCAGTCCCACCTTCTCAACAAGTACGACTGGACCTTCCAAGGCTACGTACATCAAAGTGTCGAACACACTACCCTCATAAAAAGGGCAATGTGGATCCATAGGGTGTGAGGGATGAAGAACATGGTCCACTGTCGGCTTGAGGGAAGAACTCGTGTGGCTGGGAGAACAACCCAAGTTCCTGAGAAATCAACATCTGACGGACCTGAAGAGGGAGTGAGCAAAGGATTTGCAATTGGGATTTGGTACTCAAGCATTGTCAATCGAAAAGGCACGATATGACAAGTCATACCTCATCTTCAAATTAAAGACATAGACCACCGCCAACAACAACAAGAATAGCACTTTAATAGCAATTCCCTTTTCCAACACCATCAAGAGACAACAACCGACAACCAACCACCACCAGCCACTGCCACCACACCAATCGTAATCAGCTGGAACCCTTAAGTGTCCCTAAAGGTCTAGGAACCAGTGTGTGAGCTATCCTGCATCAAACTTGCTACCTCTTCCTCTATCCGCGGCCTACCTCCCTGGGCAAAAAAAGAACAACAACCCTGTCTATTTTCAGAACCGACCACATCGACCTGCTGTCGTCCACCTCGGAGGACATTGGCCTCGATCCGCCGTGGAGTTTGTCGCAGCTCCAGAGCTACTTCGATCGACGCTACCCAGGCAAAACCAGCCCGGGGGGTCGTCTGTGGCACTCCTAGGCATTCCTAGGCCCTATGCAGTATACCTCCACCATCAAAACCGGGCGTCTTTCTTCGCGGCAAAGCTGAGTTTGTTCTTTTCCGCGGCGCAGTCGGTGGGGTGAAGCTGGGTGGAGTCCGACGATTCCTGGGGAGTTCGACGCAAGTTGTTCCTCAGTGCAAGGAGGGAAGAAAAAGCTCTGAAGATGGTTTCAGATTGACTACCTGCCCAGGACCAGTGGATACTGAGACTGTAACCGTAACCTTCAAACTTTAGCCTTTTGGCGGGGAATCAGGTGGAAAAAGGTTCACCTTGACTTTCCAGGGAAACTGAGGGAGTCAAACTACTGTATCGTAGCACCGTTCTTCGTGGTGGAAATCTCGTGGTTGGCTGGGGAATCTATAAACAATCTTTTGGCAGGTGCCTTTGAAGAACATTTGCCAAAAGTGGGACTCTCACTTGGAAGGGCTGATGTCTGGCTTGGGATGCGGACTCCCACTTGGAAGGGCTGATGTCTGGCTTGGGATGCGGATGTTCATGACTGATTCATTCCAGCCATACGATGTTGTCCGTTTGTGAAGGTCTAGCCGCCTTGGAACAGGTCAGATCGATTGCGCTTTTGCGGCGCTCAGCTAGCCTTGAAGGCATATGTTCAGCTAGCCTTGAGTTGAGCCTGGGGCGAAGAATTCTGAAAAGTGTTTTGGATGGGCAGTCCTGCTTCTCATGATTCTCATGTTCCCCCATCAGTACCTCTTGTATTCAGCAGGCTTGCCCCGATTTTCATGGTGCGAAGAACATCGGTACATCTGGCTGAAACAGGGCCACCTGAAAGTACAATCCTCTAGAAACACCATGGTTCTTTGTCTCCATACCATACCACGATACCTGGCCCCCCTGTAGCCCTAGCCGCTGTTCTCCTTTCCCAAACCTCTCCTCCCTCGATTTGACCGTGCGACCGCGAGGCTGGGATGATCCGCCCAAGCTGTCCATGGCCTCACCCGTGAGGCGATTGCAGTACCTCGATGAGGCTGGAAGAAAAGGAATTCGCTGGGGGGTACCAATTCTTTTGTGAAGAAAACGGATCCAGGTTGGTCCGGAAGCTCGTAGGTCACCAGTCGTTTTACCAGCAATCGGTTTTCACGTTCGCTTTCATTACACATTGGACCTAGAAAACCAGATTCCTGATGTGAGACCGGGAAACCATCCGGAAAGACATGGCGAGGCATTTGTGTGTCTTCTGCAAGGGTGGAAAGCGGGTGCTCCTTGTTTCTTCTGTTCTAATCGAACAACCGATAAAGGGGGACCCCTCATGTTCTTAACCAAGGGTTTCTTGCATAATGCTAGGGCTGTACATGCCTGTACATACTCTATTGAGGTGAAAGTGGGTGGTAGGGTAGTTGTACTGGGTGTCAGATGGTGTCAGTGGTTGGTTCCATGAACAGAAAGGTGGCAGTGGTTTATTAATCCACGAAGTTCAGATCATGATCAGACCATGTTGATTCATGTTGATTCAAAAAAAAGATTGAGCTCTGGTTGGTGGAAGTCTCAGGGTCCATCCGAGGAGGGTTTTTGGACGACACACCTCGCAAGTTTATGGAAAGAGCCAGGACCATCGGCTCACCAAGAGTGAAGTGGGATCTCCATTGGAGACTCCTTTTGGAATTTCTTGGAGTCTCCTCAAGAAAATGCTTCGCTTCAAGCCCATTGAACAGAAATGAACAGAACAATGTTCTTTTCATTAACGTGGATGTCGCTGAAGCGAGCATTGCTCATTAGATAAATTAGTCCGTTCGGACCAGAGGTTGAAAACCCACGACTGGATAGATGATGTTCAAGTTTCTGTGGAAGAGGTGAACTGAAAAAACCTGTTGGACACGGGATTCCCACCATGTTGCAACTTCGCGTTGCTATTCGATTCCCACCATGTTCTTTTCATTTGTCCCACGCTGATCCAGCCAGCTTCCGGTGCGAACAGTGCTGATCGGGCAGGCGGTGTCCGGTCCCCGAACTCGCCGCTGTTTCGGCTGCCGATTCGGAGGCCTTGCGGGGCAATGACGTTGAGGGCATTGAGGAGGGCCTTCGCGAGCTGGATCAGGAGGCGCGAGCTGCATGAGTGGCAGGTGGTGACCTGGCAGGTTTCGGGTGCTGGATTCACTTGGTGTGCAAGCAACGTCAAGGCTAGCTCAGAACACTTTAGCTATCTTGCAACAAATGGTAAACAATTAGCAAATCGCTCGTCACCAGGGATTGCTGGTGTTGCTTTGGAAAAGACGATGCATTCTCTTTGAAGCCGCGAAACTCGCGGCGGATTCAAACGTCCCTGCGAGGCAAAACACATGTCTTACACATCCGTTGTTCGACCACGAGGACCGTGACCTTTTTGGCGCGAGGACCGCTTTTTGGCGCGAGGACCGTTTCTGGTCCCCCCTTCCTGGGGTTTACTCCCCCTTCCTGCTGGGATAAATTTGGAAAAAACATATCTCCGGATCGGACATGCCAAGCAAAAGATCTCCGCTCGGACAGGGGGCTCGGCTTCGGTCCGCGTGACGTACGGACTGGGCGAACGGACTGGGGGACACCTCACTGAACCAGAAACAGGTGCAAAAGTAAGGTTGCCCTCTATGTTCCAGGGTCTCCAGCCTCAGGAGTCAGACTACTACAGCACCATAGAAAAGGGGGGGTGAAGGGGGTACAGGAACATGTTGTCCTTGATGTTAGAAAAGAACCGACTGCCGCGTCAGGTCAAGAACGCCTTGCTGCGCTCCTTGCTCCGGAACGAGGGCGATGACGTGAGCACGGGCGCCCGGAAGAAAGTGGCGAAGGAAGAGAGAGAGAGAGAGAGTGAGTGATTGATTGATTGAGTGAGTGAGTGAGTGCCCATGAACCCAGTGAACCCCCAAAAAGCTCTCAAAGGCTAGGAGATGATGTGACCATTCTGTTCCCAGTATGGCAGGTGTTCCCTTCTGAATTTGGAATGCAGTGACCCCTAGTAGATGACCAGTTTGCAGTTTGGGCTGGGGTTGATGGGGGCCCATGTAGATGAAGCGACCCAACGAGGGGGTGTAGATGGGGTCAGTGGGCAGCCATCACAAAGCCCTCCCTCTTCGGAGGGAGTCGCAGTGGCGATTGACTGAAAGCCTCCAATCTGCCTAGTAGAAGGCTACAGGAATCTACAGGATCTCATGACCCTATAGGCAACACAAAGATCTGGCTGTGGTGTGCTAGTACCTGGCCCTATGATTGATTGAATGGCGCTGGTGGTGTTTCTTTCTCTGGCTCGAATCGTACTACGGCTGCCGACCGGTCACCCACGCAAACCGCCCCACCTTGGAAGCCCACCGCCACCGGAACCGCCCCGCGAAGCGGGGACGACCGCCCGCCCGCGTCGCTGAGGTTTCCTCCTGCTGCTGGTGGCGGAGTTGGGCGCCCACCTCTATGACGAGCGCCAGGGGCGCAAGAGCGAGAGGCTGGGGCCGGGGCGGAAGAACGAAAGCAGGTCAGGGGGGTTTGCTTAAGGCTTAAGGTCGACGCGGCATGGCCCTGTCCCTCCAAGGAAACCCCATCCACGCTCCAGGACTCAGATCCGGATCGGCTACAAAACAGAACGACTCGTCTTCGGTCGGTGTTTGTGGACCTGTGTGGTTCCCAAAGTATCCTTCCCCAAAATATCACAACAGAGACGGGTGTCCCGAAGAGTTCCCTCAATTCCATGCACATGCTAAGTTATGTTATATGATGTTATAAGTCCTTGCTAAGTGTAAAGACATGAAAACGCGGTGTGTTTTCTTTGCACCATGAAAACAGATGAAAACCATCCGAATACTTAGAACATCTTAGAACCTGAAATTAACTTCTCCTGGGCCTCTGCGTTGTGATAGCATCGTATTTGTTTTGCAAGTCGTAGATCATTGCAAGTTCAAGGCTACAGTGGACTGTTGGCTTTCTTGGCACAGCAAGCCGCAGCAAGCAGCAAGCTGCGGCATGCTTTCGGAGCGGCTCGCAGCTCGTGGGTGTTGAGGCCAGGCCAGTGCGGCAGAGACCGAAAAAATGCGATGGTTACATCAGACATCCTGGGGCCGTCGCCCGGGTCGCAACGCATGGTTGTTGACTTGAAAGGGACGCACAGTGGCACAGGGGAACACGCCTTTCGCAATTGCACAGGTGTGTTGGCCTTTGCAGATTGAATCAGAGATTTGAAACGTGTTGGCTTGGAGTCGAAGCCATCTTCGGACAGATCGCCATCACGGGGCAAATTGGCAGTGATCCAGCTTCACTGCCTTGACTTCAGTCGGGAACTTTGCAGGGCAGACTTCGGGAGATCAAGATCTACCCCTTCTTGAAGCCACAGATGAGGAGGAGGCTAGAAGGCAAACACCTGATGTCCAACTCCAAGTCCGAAGCTGAGGCCTCGTCAAGTCCGTGCTGATTGAGAGAACGTGCCCGTGTGCCACGATCCCTTTTCAAACAGCTTCAGGGCACTAAACTGCAAGCTGCGTGTTAGGTGGCCCAATTTCAGTGTGTTCACGGGCCTGACCCTGTTTGATTTGCTATTGCAGGTGCCAACAGAGTCCCTCAATAAGTAAACTTGAGCTGGAGCGGTAAGTATGAACCCTGCACCACAGATCAGCCTTTGTGCCTGATGTCTCGCAGGCAGAACGGCTCCCTGTTTGCCATCGTTTACATCGTTTTGCACACCTCTGACACCCCACCACACCCAGGGCCCCGACCCAGGGCCCCGGGTTTGTGCCAAAACGTCCGTGGCGCCCAGGGCGGAGCTTCGGCGCGAGCGCTCGAGCTCGGAGGAGGCCTTGCTGAACGGCTTCGAGCAGCAGAAGGCGCTGCATGCGCAGCAGCTGGAGGCGAAGAGGGGGTTGGGTGGCTGGGTGTTTGAGTGGACTAGGGGATTTTGTGTGATTCTGGAGTGGCTGGTGTTATGTAGAAGCATGGGTGAGGTATGGTGAGGTATAAGTATACGTGATGTGAGTGTTGGGTGGGGTAGTGCACAGAAGTTGCAGAGAGGAGTATTGTTCGTCTTTGTTGGTGTTAGCAGTGTAGCAGCATGAGGTGGCTCTTCCAATGACACATTGCATGGAGGCACGGTCCAGTTCAAGGTCCAGCACGGTGGGGACAGATGGTCATTGCATGTCGTAGCTGCATGTGTTTACACTATAAGACGGACTGGTGGACAAGGGTACCAACATCGTGACCTTCAAAGACCCTTTTCTTTTTTGCCTTTCTCCAGTAGAAAGCTCTTTACGATGCGGACGACGAACGACGACCGCCGATGCGAATGTGTGCTGTCGCTCCTGTTGAAAGATGTTGAAAGAAGAAATGCTCATTTAAGCTTTGAGTCGTCCTTGAGCATCTCTGGTTTGGGGTGGTAGGAATATGTGGTAAATATGTGTATACCATGGACCAATGCACCAATTGGGCAATGCTGTACTTCCTTGAACCCACGGGCCGCAGGAATTGAGCAGCGAGTTGGACCTCGCACGCAGGGAGTCCGCTCAGTTGCAGCAGCAGCTGCAGATCCTTCAGGTGCGGAGTCGTGAGGATGAGTCGTGGGACCGAGGAGCGGACGCGGTTTCTCGCAAAGGAATGGATCCATGGTTTCTGTCGTCCACGGACTGGAAGAGTGAGCCTGACATGGCATGGGTCATTTTGGCGGTAAATGTATCATGTAATTATTCCAGTCACAGGTCTGGGAAGAGATCTAATATGATTCGATCTAATTCTTAGTGACAAGTGGGACACAAAGTGATGACTGATGAGATCTGATGAGATACCCCCTGGACCGTCCCGGACTCTGTTTGAGTTTTGGGTGCTTGGAGACAATGCCTCTTGAGAGACTAAGTATGAATTTGCTTTGCTGTTTCCTGTATGTTACCTGTATACTATGTTGTTTTCATTCATCCTCTTCGAACAGTTGCTTTTGCAACGTCGTTGTTTCATGTGACCGTTGGGCTTTTTGGGGCTGCACGAACTCAACATGTCATGGGCTGGCGAGGATCCTTCACAGCCTTATGTCGTGCTGCGCCATTTCTTCATTGCTTGGCCAATCTCAGACGTGTGTTTCTAGGGCTTCCACGCAAAACCATCCATTTCAGCTCTGATCTCTGTTCCCACACAACGTCCGCAACCTGGCGCGTCCGTCCACGGGTCACGGCGCCAGTCCGGGCGAACGTCCGCCTTCGCGTCCGTCCACGGGGTCCTGAGGCGTCCGAGGTCGATCGGAACGAGATCTCCTTGGAGATGAAAGACCTTCAAGAGGAGAACCGCAGGACCGGATCAACCACGGTGCGTTCTCTCGCGGCTGGCCCTCGCGGCTGAATTGGCGCGGTGGGATCTCGGGGCCGGAGTGGTTGTTTCGGGATGAGGGGCGGCGAGTTTGAGGGGCATGGTGTGGGAGAAAAGCTGTGGCAGGTTAGTGGACTAGTGTAATAGGCTGGCAAATTGCCTGAAGCTATTTGGATAAGCTTTGAACTAGAGCTTGGAACCTTCACAAGCTTCACCGGAATTTTGAGACACAGGATTGTCCCCCAGGGGCTTTCCGTTCTCTTCGCAGGCCATGATGTGTGTTTTTGTGTTGGTCCGCTGGTGGCGGGATTTCGGGTGGTTTTCTGTTGTTTTTGGGGTGAGGAGAGGCATCCCGTGATGCTTGAGTACATGGGCACGGGTCCGTGAAAACGCTCCGGTCGCCCATGGTCGCTTGGTCCAGGCAGGTCGCCCAAGGGATCCTGGTGCCAGAACCCACAGCCAACTCAGTCTTTGGACTTCGTAGTGGGGGTCAGAGCGGGGTCGCTGCTCCTTCAGGCTCACCTTAGCGGCACAAGACTTACAGGAGCAGCTGCAGGACCGGGATGCGGAAGATGAAGGACTCCGGAGTGCAAAGCAACAATACAGGACCTACAACGGGGTGGCGAATGGAGATTGCTCAAGACACTAAGGGGATCTAAGGGGTGATAGTAAGGATTGGTCTACGTTGTAGATGGGCAGGGATTCCCAGCAATCTGATGCCGAAAAAGATCAAATGGGCTCAAGAATCCCCAGCGCCACCAAGAATACCCTGATGTTCTGTCTGTAATGTATGGATATGGGTCTGGGGATGTTTCCAGGCAGCCGAGCTGTGTTGCTTCGCAGTGGGGGAACTGTACAAAGGCTGAGCGACCAAGCCGCGCGACTGAGCTTGCTCGGGCTCGGTCGGAGCATTTCAACGCAGCGTTTGGACGGATCCCTCTTTGTGAATGAAGAGCGATCCCAGGATTTCCGCGGGTGAATCATGGGTGAATGCAGCTCCAGAAAAAGCATCCGAAGGGTCTTACATCGCTAGATTGTACGATTCATTCCCTATTAGGGATCCAGTGGTACCTTCTCACGCTTCTCAGGTTCGGTACGTCTGGACCCTCCGAACCAGTCTCCCAGCATCTCCTGTCTCTTCGACTTCTTTGGTTCTGGTCGGATCATCGACTCGGATCGCCGACTCGGTGCCACGACTCGATCTGACTCGACGGTTTCGACCAGACCTGGAGCTGGATGTGTGATGATGTGCGTCGTTCGTCGAGCTCCTGATGGATTTGATGATCACCTTTGGATGGCCATGGACCATCACAAAAGGTCCATCCTGCACAATGGGTCCGCTTCTTCTCTCTTGTGGTCTCATGCACGGTGGGTGCCCACAATCCATTCCAGCTGGACTCCAAGCACAATGTACCGAGCTGTTGGGAAGCAAACCCAAGACATCCGCTTGGCAGTGCTATTAATTATTCACGTAACATTTGACATACTGTAGTTTTACTACCTCAAGATAAGCTGCCAATGTGGCGCACTGCCAATGACAGGTCTTTGGTCTGGCTTGATCGTCGTCCATGTTTCTTTGACCCGCCACCGCCACCGTGAGGAGTTGAGAGCACAGAAGGCGATCTTGGTGGCAGTTCGAGAGGTGCCGGGCGCCGGTGGTCTTGGTCAAGAAAGAATGTGTGTGTGTGTATATATATTCAGAATAGGAAGGCCTTGGCAACGATCCCCTGGAAGAAGCAAACAGAGCAAAATTGACTAAATAGACCACAACCCATTGTAGTTTCCCTATTATAAAATAACAATAGTAATTTTAACACTGTAATATAAAATAATACAAAACCATAGGTCACATGTCATGAGGGGAATGTGTTCAGGTTTCTCCTCGGACTGGAATCTGTGCAAAGTTGTTGGACCAGCCATGGCAAAAGATCAAGAACACATATCTTTTGGCACTAACAATGTGTTTGGGGCCTATGTTGTGTTTGACCCTCTTGGGTACTCACCAGGCAATTGACACTCACGCAACAGTGTAATACGGTGTACATTACAATCTAGTGTGCCTGTTTCTTAAGTACGCGGACATAGAACTGGATGGGCCACTTCTGGTGACTTGGGGTGCCCACCCTTGCTGTTGGCCAGACTGCTGACAGCCCTTTGTGTACTCTTTCAGCTACAGTAGATAGGTGGGTATTTCTTGAACAGTCGAATGAAGATGAATGAAGGGATTCTGCATTGGTTTCCCGTGCGAGGAGAACGAGGGCGCTTTAGAGGAGATGTCCCGGAGATTGTCAAATGCCTCAGGCAGGTTGTGGGGGTGGAAGTAGAGTGGCCTCCCAGTCCAAGTTCTTAAAGTTTCCTCATTTGAAGCCGTGACATGCCCCTCTTTGGGAAACATGTCTCTGCTGCTGGACATTTACCGTTCATGTCCACCGCGAGATATCTTTTGGGGGGACCTAGTCACGGGGTTCCATGGAAGCTGCCTGCATGTGTGAGAGTATTGGCCTTTCATCTCAATCATAGCTGTTGCTCAGGAGGGAGCCATTCGGAGTCGGGGGGTATCCAGTTCTTCCCCCCAGTTCTTCCCCCGCTCAACAGGGAAGCCGTTTGGAGCGACCAAGCCGGGAGTGAACTCCCAACCTGTTCCTACTCATGTTTAAAGCATCCCGAGCATCTACCAGGACCTCCTGGCCAGGTCGCTGTTTGGAGACTTTAGCAGGTGGTTTCTGGGCACCTGTTGTCACCAGGAAGCAGCTGTTGGAGGGTGCTGGCATGGGTGTGGAATTTCTGAGGGACACCACCCCTGTCCCTGGGCCCTGGCTGGGTAGACTGGTCTATGTCCCGAACCGTCGAAGGGATCGAACTGGCACGTCGTCTTATTTTAAAACAGACATGCCCCGGGATCACTTGGAGGAGGACGCAAACGGTCAGCGCCGCAATGCGGTGGTTTCCTGGAGTTGTTTGATTCAGATTTTGTTTGGACATGGTGAGCGGCACATGTTTTTTTGCCAAGCAGCACTTTGACCATTCACACAATGTCTGAATCTTACTGGACAGTCTTCTTGCCAAGACATAAAGCCACATAAAACATCATAAAACCAATGATGTCATTTTGTGTATGAATTATGCCAGCATAAGCTTCCAGATGCCTCCATGAAAGTCTAAATTGTAGCATGAATATCAAAGTCTACCGGTGAATATAAGGGTTAATAGCTTGGCTTGGCCGCCCAACAGCAATAAAGAACAGCTACGCTTAAGCCTTGCCTTGCGCGAAGTGAAGAAATGAACGTCCAGGTTTTAGACATGAATGCATGCCTAAGTTGACTCCATTTACCTGGAGACTGAATATGCAATGCATGAACGCGTCATGCGCATGAAGAGCTGCTGCAAAGGCTGTTGGGCAACAACTTGCTTCCCGCATTTTGATCCCAACAGGAGAATCCCAACTACTGTGCTGCTTGCTTGGGCGCTAGCCCTTCCTTCCGGAACCCCATACTCATGCCATCCGCACTGAATCTGGGAACCAGTGGATCCAGTTCGGACGAGGACCCGGATGACCTGCTTGGTGGATCAAAATAGCATTCAATCCCGGTAGGTTGACCTCCCTGGTCGTCCGTTCCATTTTCTGTGGTCAACCAAGGTCTCCCATTTTTGACTCACAGCCGTGTGAGGGTCCTCGACGTTTAAGTCTTTGCTCGTCGGGCGTTAAAAACATCTGTCTCCTCCAACGGACTCGAACGGCTCAGTCTTCCGGTGGTTTCTATCAGGGATCCCCAGTCGCCCCAGTGGTGTTTGAGCCAACAGTCTTGGGGATTTGCGCCCAGAGATCTTCTGCGGCGCCTTCTGAGAAAGACTCGCGGTGGGTGCGGGACCCGCATTCTTGCCGCCCATCCGCATGGAGACGACGCAGACGTCGTGCGTCGTGCGTGTTTGGCTTCGGGCCTTGCATTGTAAGAGCAGTTCAGTAAGCGGTCCAAAGCAGCCGAAGCTCTAAGCCATGCCCAGACCATCCATGTATGGCCTATTTACTTATGTTGGGGTGGTTGAACAGGGGTTTCTCTGGGGCGGCATATAATTATTCCCCAGTTCCATGGATGGGCTCTAAGATCATGGTAAGTTGACATTCCTGACAGCGTTCATGTTGTCATGCCAGCTTCCTTGCCTCCCAGGCGCGTGGAGGGATGAGGCAGGGCGGTGAGGCGGAGGGGGTGCATTTGGTGAGTAGTTGTGATAGACAATTGAATACCTAACACTTCCAATGGGTGCCCAATGGAAGCCTGTAAGGTAGGGTAGTCTATTGGACACCCATTGGATGACCCTGGTAGCGTCTTTTTCAATGATCGATTCGTTCAATCATGAGACTCTAACATTTTAAAAAACTGCTCTTTCTTGATGGAGTTTCATGCCAAGCACCACATCGAGCAACTGTCCCTGCTTCGTTTCTTCTCGGATCGGGTCGAAGGGGGTCGGTCTCCGGTGAACGTGGTCCGGTGTCAGCTTCTTTAGTACCTCAAAAGATCTCAAAAGCATGGCATGATATGACATGTGTGGGTACCAACTTTAAAGTCTATCTGGATGTTTGCACTAATACCGCCCATGGTGAACCCTACTCCCACTATACCCTTTATTGCTAAGGAGCAATCTGGTGCCACCATGTACGACCAGATGGATGGCCACCAAACACCCAGAAATATGGTCCAACTTCCTATCAAAGCAGAGGTCCAACTTCCGGATTGGTTGGTGGTTGGTGGTTGGTGGTGTTTGGTTGGTGGTTGTTGGATTCCAGGATATCCCCATGAATCTCCCACAGAATCCATATGGGACTTAGAGCAATGACGATTGCCGATCAGGCCAGGAGTGATTTGTTCATGATGTTTGAAGGGTCAATGTAAGTAGGTAGAGGTGCCAGTCCCATACACAATCTGGGATATCGGGCTTCTGTGAACAAGTGATGTCATACTGAGCCTGAGGCTGAGGCCTATGAAGACATCCTACCAGCTGTAGCAGAATTGATACTCTCGGAGTCATTCACATGGACGTGAAACACCAGCTGTTTGGAATTCGGAAAAATGGTCCTCCATGGGGCTGTGCCATGGGGCCTGCCATACTTCCTCGGCAGGGAGAGAGGTTTTAAGTACAGATCGGTGTTCGGTGACCACTGGCGCCCGAGAAATATCACCGGTCTCCAAACAGCTTGGCCAGGAGGGTCCTGGTATGTATTGCTCGGGATGCTTTACAACAATAGCGTGGAACAGGTTGGGAGGTCACTCCCTGTTGAAAGGGTCCTGGCCATCCAATGGGTGTCCGATGGAAGGTCCCTGAAGCAGCGCCGGGTGGTTTGTTGGGGAACCCCCCGCAGATGCTCTGGTAGATCCTGAAATCATGATGGTTATGTAGATGGCACCACCATCTGTTTAAATTTGGATTTGGACATCCGAAATCGGGGTCATGCCATCTACGTAACCATGGTTCCTGGGCATGTTTATGATCTGGCAGGGCATACAATGATCCAACTACGTATACTGTACCATCTACATTCCTTCAGTCACAGTTGGGGTAATATTAAACTGGGAGTCCAGATGTTTTCAATAAAAGGTCTGAAGATGACCCCAAAGAGGAATATCCCTGCTGCTTGGGTGTTCCCCAAAATAGTCGAGCTGGACCTTCAGGGGAACTTCCCTGACTGCCATCATTTGACTGCGCGTCCTGTGCTTGGCGCCAGGCGACCCCGACCACCTCGCCGAAAGAGGTCGCGCGTCGCACGGGGGTTTCGCCGCGGCGGCACCGAAGGCGCGGTTACAGTGGGCCATCAGAGGTTCGATGGCACTGGCACTCCAAGATGATCTTGGACACATGGGGGTCCAGAAAAACCACTGACCTTCAACATGGTGCCATTGAACCTCTGAAACCACGGTTAAGGGGTCCACTGTGAAAGGGGATGCGCTCCATGCTTGGGCACCTTTCACCACACGAAGGTTCATCTCGTTAGGTTAGTGTTTTGAAGCACCCTCATATAGCACTCATACTTGCTCAGTCGGTTGGAGGAAGCCAGGCAGAACAAAAGTCAAGAGAGTTGTTTGTCCTTGTGCGGACAGCACGTTTCCAAACATTCATACGCCTGTGGCAATAATTACAGGACAGCCCGCTTGCAGTACTTTTTCGTATGAGGGTCATGAGCGTTTCAGATATGAGGGAGAGGATAAAAGATCCTTTGCGATCCGCAAACACCAAAAAGCGTCTTCTGGGAGTTGGAGTGAGGGATGAGAATCATGGTGAACGGCAACTCAACTCCAAGAAGCATGTCTCCCTACGGATCCACCAAGAAACCCATGGCTGGGATCGCAAAGGGCACCCATCCCCCTGGGAGAAGAAGCCTGACGGGGAACCCAAGGCTGTCGATGCCCAACTCTGCAAACGGAGCTTATAAGAACCACTTATCCACGGATCTTGGAGAAGTGTGGCCCTGTGACCAGTACACAACTCCTCATGGGCTCTGACATGTGGAAACACAATGCAATTGGACTTGAATCAGCAGTGATTCACCCCCAAATCACCAGTGATTTTCCCAAGTCTTTCGAAGACCGAGCTGCCTCTTCTCCCCGAAGCTCCCCAAAGCTCGGCAGCTCTTTCCGACCCCGTCCAGGACGGTCCGAGAGTTGCATCCCAAGCGTCTGGACCCCTCCGGACCCTTCCAGCGCCCAGGCACCCACGCGAAGAGCTGTCCGGGCCAAGGTCCGGTCCGGGGAGCTGGGCGGCCGGGGCAGATCCTCGGTGCCGGTCCTGGCGCGTGGCCCGGGGGAAGACGGTCGACTCGGGGAAGACGGGCACGATCCGAACGACCGATCCGTGTGTCATCGGACACGAGTTAGGGAGCTTGGTCAGTGTTAGGGACCTTGGACAAGCGGTTGAAGGGGGAGCAACAAAAGCATCTTGTACACACAACCACTACTCAGACAATTGCTATGTTTCTGAGGAGGTCCATTTGTTTAGTGATTTCTTCTTGTTTGGATTCAGGGGTTTGCCAGCGTGAACCACACACATGCTTCAATCCGTGCAAGCCGGAGTACCAAAGGCGCGGCCTCGCTTGTTTGTCAATATCCTTGCTGACATCAACTGCAGAAAGTCGCCCTTTTCCTCCAGCAATGTTGAGATACAATTTTCGTCACACATGCCGTAGCTGACAGGTTTGTGGTGCTTGGCCTCGGCAAAGACCAAACTCTCTTTGTTACAGCAATGGACCAATACTGACTTTGCCTGTCGAATGAAAGCAGTCAAGGGCCACGAAAGCCCAAAGCGTCCGGAACCTTTTCCGAGGAACGGTTCCTGCAGCTTTGGCTTAAGGTTTTCTCCTTGACTCCAAAAGATGGTTGAAGCTGGTGAGGCCCAACCGGGAAGCGAATTGGCTGAGGTGAGGACTGATAACACACTGGCTGCTTTCGAGAGGGCCATGGAATCTGAAATCATTAGACTGAACAAGAAGGGTGCTTTGGAGATGATCCTTTCAGATGTGATCCACGATCTGAATAAGACGCAATCGCCATCAACTTGGTCACAAGCAGTGGTCAAGTATGAATCCGGGAAGTGTATATTGCTCAGCTCCGAACTAGGCTTGTATTTGGTACAGTCCATGTTCATTTCGATCATTGGGAAGGTCTATCGATCAGATGAATGGTATTGGCACCCAAACCCTATGAAGAATGGCTGCATCAGTGCTGGCGCTACAGGGACGCAACAGGAAACTACTGGTATTGGAAAGGTGCTGGGACTATTCTAATTTCAACACACAGCACAGTTTGCTGCAGCAATTCTTCTGGCATACTTGCTGGGCAAACACATTGGACCCTGAGACGAAAGCCACTTATCCAGTGGGTAAACCTGCTCAGGATGCTTTCTCGTACGTCAGCCTTGCAGTGGTGCGATCAACGATAATCTGGCAAGATGGTTCGATTTCTGTGAAATTTTCTGGGCTCGACAGCGGACAGAAGTTGACGACAGAAGGGAACACTTGGTCAGGGATCACTTATGATGGACCATTGCTTGGGAGCACTGTTGACTTCTTCATGATCAGTACAATCTTACGCATACGTGCTCCACCTGCGCTGGGCCACGAACGGCATTATGCTCAAGGCTATTCGGAAGCGCCTTTCGTGGCATTTACCTGCAAGTTGCGGGATGATGCAAGAGAGGCCATTGAAAGCTTTGTAGGTGATCCAGCCGTGGTGAACCGAACACTGAGGTGAATAGGTGGTGAAGGTGCTGAAGAGAAAGTAGCCAGTGGCTGCTGGTACTGTTGGATGAGACTGGAGCATTTGCAAGCCCAATTCGCGTGCTGGCAAGCAGCGTGACAAGGTCACCTCAGAATCCTGGATGGCGAGGTGTTGTGGATGGACCCACTTCTATGGCCGTGTTGGCATCTCTAGCAAAAAGGAGGGGTGGGAGCAATCTGTGGCAAGATTTCTACAGTACCTCAAATTGGTGATGCCATACTGGGGTGCCACGATATGGCGGAAGCCTGGTACGATCGTGAAAGTCCCGACAGATTGGGCGAGAAGATGGCCAAGGAAGGGGACGTTTTGCCGCGGGACCACATCCTAACACCAGTGCCCAGCATGTTGCGCCGGCAAAATTCAATTGCAACAGGTCCAGCTCAAGTTTCATTGCACCATTGAGAAGGACGGCTCTCTGCAGCAGGCAGTGAGAATCGGAGACCGACCGTGAGATTCCTCTCGAGTTCTCAAGCGTTTGGGGTTTGAACGGCTACCAGGCTACCACTTGTTCTTCTCCAAGCAGATGAAGGACCACCTGACCCAGTTGTCCAAAGTGGTACGCCAACACGACCTATACCTTGGTCTTCATCGACGAAGTTGCTCGCTGTTTCCACTTGAACAACAAGAGAGCACCAGACTTCTCCATCAAGGCCATCATCGCTATCGCCTCCAAAGACAACAAAAACAGGTTTGAATTCCGATGCCAAAGGAGTCAAGCTCTGGCCCTGGCCTGGTCACATTCCTTTGGTTCCAATGCCGTTCAGGAACATGTGTATCTTCAACTTGCGGTTGCCAAAGCGTCCCTGAACATGTGCAGCAAGCACCTGTGGCAGCTCTTGTAGCTTGCATTGTAGATACTGATCGTTTCTAACCAAATGCAAACGAACTTTGCCATAAGGTCACCAGCCCACGGTACCTCCCCAACCAACACACTTCTCAAAAAGATGGAAGCTGCGCCAATATAGAAGAACCAACCAACTGCCCGTAAAAGCGGCCCGTGTCCACATGCCAGCTGCGGAAGTCGCAATAAGCAGAAGAAATCCCAAAGGTTTAATAAAGGCGCCAGTCAATACCAACTTGGAACAAAGCCTCACGGCTGGATGATGAAGTGTCTTCAAACCACCACCCAAACCTCCTTGGAAATAAGAGCAGGAAGATATTTTTCCAAACGCGCAACGGCGAAAACAGAGTGAACCAAACACAGAGAAAAAAATTCACCGAAAATGTTCACCGCGCACTTCTGGTATAGCTGGGGCATACGAATGACCAACAGTTCAGCATGGATATTTGCAAGGCACAGAGTGGCAACAGCTACAGCTATGGGCCGTTCAGCACAAATGCCGAACAATTTGTCGTTCCAACCACCACCTGTGATTTTTTTCACGCTGGCCAGGCAAAAGTGGTGTATGACTCTAGGGCCACGCATTCATGCCAGACTGCACCCTCAGCGGATCCCTCAGATCTCACATGCACGATCAGATGGGTGAGTCATCGTGGTGAGTCGTGAACAGCACGTCGCCAGAGTTTGCCTCACAGCTTGTATCGAACAAACGGCTGCAGCGATCCTGGGCCTTCGTGCCAAGCGTGGCGTAGTCTTGATGATCTGAGTATGTGCCACGCAACTATGCAAACGCACATCCGGGAAAGTGTTGGTCTAGAAATATGTCCTTTGGTGCGGAAAATAGCAGGTTCACATTCACGTTGGAAGCCTGTGTGGTGTGCTTTGCTTTGGCTCGGGCTAGTCGTGAAGCCAAGAAGTGACCTCTTCACTATCCCAACGAAGCATGCTGCCAGCGTGTTATATAATAATTGCGGGGGCGATTGCCCACACCCGCGTGTCCTTTGCTTTGCTAGTTATCAACCCAGTGAAACGAACTAAAATACACCATACCCTAATGCAAATGTCGTGGTCTTGGCAGTTTGTGGCGTAACCAATGGTGAACACAAATCCAATTTCACTGTACTGACAACCAGTATGTATAAAAGACGTTTCGCGCTCATTCACGCCCACTTGTTTCATTCAGCGCGCACAAAAATAGAACACGTGTCCAAATAATCCATTGAGCTCGCAGGAGTTGCGCATTTCGATTTTCCATTTTGCAGTGGCTGCCAAGTGGCTGCAAGTGACTGCTACTTCTGTCCGGAGAATATCATGATTTCTCCGCACACAGTTCTGAAGAAAACCAAGCCGTCTGCAATGCCGTTCTGCGAAGAAATTCCGGTTTTCTCTCGAGCTGCGCGCGGAGAAATCATGAAATAATCCAATACTTTTACGAGAATAAATTCCAAATTTCTGCAGAGGTAGCGGCGAAGATATCTTACAGTTTTTACGTAAAGAACTCAAAGTACAGTGTTGAAATTTACTTGTTTGAGCGACAAGAGGCTGCAAGTAGCTGCCTGAGCAAGTGGCTGCAAGTGACTTCAAAACCAAAATCAAAATGTACGTCATTTGCTCGCTCTCTGAAAATATCCGAGTGTCGCTGAATTTTGCTGTCCTTTTGGGGTTTGGGCGGGGCTTAAAACCTGGTCGGCAAAGAAGATCTGCAAAGGGGTCATCAAGTTGACGTTGTTTCGAGCTAAAGCCACTCTTGAACGATTCTGAAAACTCGTTCAGGTTGTGTGGATATTGATTGGTCTGGTCAAGTTTCGGAAAATCATTCAAAAGCAATCCTGCTTAAGAATGCCTGAAATCCAATCTCAAACCTAACGAACTATTGACCTATCGACTTCGGACCTCATATTCAATCCATAACCCATCCAAAACAACCACACATGCACTGATGATGATGCATGCGCAGTTCCGTTCCAAACGCTTCCCTTCACCGCCATCGGTTTGCCGTTTGCCAGGCCACTCGTGTGGGAGATCTGGCACACCAGGAGGCGCAAACTGCCAGGCTGGGTGGTTCTGGGTGGTTCTGGGGTGATTGGAGTGAATGAACCAAGATTGTTTGGCAATCATGTTTGACACTAATTGGGGAGGGGGCACCTCGGAGATCAAACAAGAGACCAGGCGAAAGGATTTGGACGACTTCTCTCTAACCCGGTGCCATTCTGGCGTGTTGGGAGTTGAACACACTTTTCTCCGCATAATGCGAATGTGGATGGCCTGCCGCAATTGAAGATTTTGGAGATAGGAAGATGGTTGCACAAGTTTTTCGACGCAGCCTTGTGAATCACGACAGGATTTTTTTGGCAGGTACTCCAGAAACAATGACCAATTCACCCTCTAGAAGGAATGTGTTCTTCACAAGATGCACCATTTTAGTGCCCAGTGACCAACTCTGGTGGCTAGTGGCAACTGATGGCAACTGACCAAGGTTGGTCAGTTATTTAACCGAAAAATGGGCGACAAGTCCGGAACAAAACATTCAATCCCATGATCCTACTCAAGGGCCCCCCATCTTCATCCTCCGCGGGTTCCGGCGGAACCGAACCGAACACGTTCGATCACGGCGGCTCAGTCTCCACAGCTGCTTCCTGGCGTGGCGCCTGGCACACCTGGAGGAGAAGCTGCTACGTGAGAGCTCGGAGTCCCTACAGGCGCCGTTACAGACGACAGGCATATTGATCAACCGTTCTGTTAAAAAAGGTCAATGTAGGCATATATATCGTCATGCATATTATATACATCTATCTATACATCCTGGACCACCCATTCGTACAAAAAAACATGCTCAATGGGTTGTTTGATACACTTTTTGGGGTGCGAGCGTTTTTCTATTAGAAAGATGTTCTCGAGCACCATTTTTTGGTCGAGCACTTTTCTTGGTTACTGGATGGTTTTGCAGATGTTTGTTGTGAAGACTTCAATAAATCCAAATCTCCCGGACTTTGTGCATTTTTGCACTCGCATGCAGCCATTTGGCATATAGATGGGTGGGCACTGGAAAATGAAGGAACAGGAAGGCGGGATGTGCAAACGTGGCAGACTGGTTGATCAATAAAACAGTTGTCACACCCTGCAGACTCGTGGCAGCAAACTATGGCGGAGTTTGCAAAGGAGCTGCGTTCAAGTCAGGCTGATCCGCATTTGGTGGATCAATACAACTCTTTGCAAAAACGGTGATTTGCATTATGTGACTGAGTCTGTTGCCCGCGCGGGATCCGCAAAACGAGCGCAAAAAATCCGCAAAACGAGCGCAAAAAAGCGCAAACGAGCGCAATTTGAAAAACTGGTTGTTTCCACTTGTGTTTTTTGCGGTTTGGAACACTTTCAGGATGATTGCATGTCAGCTACCCTTTTGAACTCAAACCTTAAGGGCTGCTGGGATGTCAAAGGAAAGCCTAGACCTTGGACTCTTGAAGATTCGGACCATTCAGCGGTGCTTAGGAGAGTATCGCAGACAGTGGGCGCGCAAAGGATGGATCAAACGCAAGAGATAAAAATAGAGTCAAACCTAATTAACTTGTGCAGAAGGTGCTGCTCGGGTGGTTACGGTGCAGGGCATGTGTGCATGGACTTGAATGCAATGCATTGTCTAGGAGACATGCTCGAGCACTTTTTGAGTGCAAAAAACAAACGAACAAAAAGGACTATGAAGGCTCCAATTCGAGCGCAAAAAGCTCGAGCACTTTTTCTTGGCTGTTTGGGGGCTCAGGATGTATGGATCTACGTGGAGTATTGGGGGGTTAGTTAGTGGTATGAAGGGTTTCTGAGGACCACACAACTAGCCCCTTATCTTCGCAAGACACACGACAGCCCGCAAAGTGCCCCCGAAACTCAGGGTTCGAATCCTTTAGTGTCAGTTATGGTACGTCCACAAGAACATGACCGATGGTTCAGATTTGTGTGTTTATTCGTTCGCACCATGTCTTTTTTGGTCTCCTTGAGTTTAGTTGTACGAAACGAGTCGACGAGTGTTTTTGTTTACACCCTGGACTAGAAAGAACTGCATGGAACATTCAAGACGCACGACAAACATAATTCCCTACCCGCACCTCAACTAGGGATGTTCCTGATATATGTCCTGATAAAATTGTATAATATTAAAAGAAATCAATCCCTTCTCTATCGGAATTACCAGACCACACTTTTCCTGTCAGTCTCCAAGAAATATGAGAAAACTAGGGGTGCCTCCGCTTTCCCCCCAATCCTTGTCCGTTCGGATTCCTCGCCTCAATCGCCTCACGCAGGCGGATCTGAGCTTGGCCACGGGAGCCGGGTGTGCTCAGTTCGCTGTTCGGGCCGAGGTGGGCTGACCGGCTTACACTGGAACAATCGAAGTCGATGGAGTCGATGGCGAAAGGATTACGGTGAACTCCGAAGACCAAACAGATCGTGGTGAACTCCACGTCACGTTCCATTTTGTTGGCAGCGTGCTAAAAATCAAGCATCCAGTGATTGACAATGACCGTGAACTCATGGTAGTGCTTCTTTTTTTCGGATTTTCGGAAAATGTGAGAGAAGAAATTCATGTTAACTTTCAATGAACCTGAGTTCAGGAGAGAGTTCATGTTACCATATGTTACCTGTTGTCTGAGAGGTCGGGTAACCGTGACTCTCAGCAGGCGAATCTGGCCCAGCAAGGACTCCTTACTTCGGAACACTCTGACCTCTTCTGACCGTCTGAAGCGGTCGGTGTTTGATGTGTACTGGACAACGTTCGGTGCGTGGTTGGGGGATGTTGAGTTCTTCCAGATGAGACGAGATGGAGCCGCTCCTTAGTCATGACAGCCGAGAAGTTCAGACATTCTCCACTCGAACGTCGAACGAGGGAGTATTGTCTTTGAATTTGTCCAAAATCCTTTGGCCGTTTGTGCTTTCTTCGTTCTGCTCTCCTCCAGATCCAAGGCCAAGGACACCACTCAGTGTCAAGTGGAGGGCTGTTGCTGCCGCCGGCAGGTGCGGCTTCGGTGGCACCATTCGATGGGTTGGAACCGCCCAAGTGGGTGGGCGAACGGCCCATAGACGTGTAATATATGTACATACATATATTTATAGGTGGGTATCCGGTATCCTCTATATAGATAATCTGCACCTATCATATTTAATTAAGTTAGATTACATCAAAAAAAGGTTGGTTCCTATATAGTCAAACGATTGGAGTGTTCGTCCCTTTTTTTGATGAACGAAGATCTAGAAAATCAGTTGCTTCGCTCACTTGAAGTTTGGAACCAAAGACTTCGATCTCTTCAACTTCAGTCCTTCAGTCCTTCACGGGCGCTCTTCTTGGGCGCTCCTGGCTTTGAAGCCAGAGGGCCGGGAAGGTCGGCTGAAAAGGGGACGTCTTGGGGAACAGCGGTCCCTGAAAGCGACATGAAGCACCGTTGAGCCGTGACCGGTTCACCACTGAAAAAAGCCAGTGTATGTGGATGCCAACAGAGGTTGAAGAACCCTATAGACTATCCCATAGGTACCCTGGTAGGGTCCTATAAGGTCACTTAACCTCTGTTGGTGTAGAGGGTAAAAGACTGGCTAGCTTGGTGAGGACGATATCTCTTGATATTCCATTTCTTGTGACCAGAAGTGTATTTGCCCAAGAATCGTCAGGGTCCTCCAAATTCGTTCTTTGGTCCAGTGTCATGCCTCGTTGTTGGAACCGGCGCCAACCCTGTCTCTCCTTCAGGCGGGTCAGCCCGGTCTCCCAGATCCCCAGTTCGGTCACGGCCTTCGGTCACGGCGTTCGCGAAGGACAGGACGGCCGAAAAACTGAGGCGTTGTTGTGCAGTAAGCGGCTAGTGCAGTAAAGGTGAACATCATGCTCATTCAGTTGAGCTATGCGTCTAAGTCTGTGTGTGTTTTGTTGCTTTTTTGTGTTCAAAGGTGGCAAAGGTATGAGGAGCAGAAGGAGACTGGGGGAGATGATAGTTCTTGTCTTGTTTGCCGCCGCACCTGGAGACTGCAAAAATCTGGGGGATGTGGTTTCAGCTACTTATGTAAGCTACTAGGGGCTCCTGGCATCGCTACGAACGGAGCGATCGGACGCTACGTTAGGGGCTCCTGGCCGTACTATTAGGTCCTAGCAAGAAGCTACTAGTAAGAAGTAGTATATATTCAAGCTTTACTTGGCATGATTGAACCCACTGACGAGGTCTCTTTTTCATCAGAAAAGACTACGCCAATCAGAAGTCAGAAATGGTTAAAAGCGACGAATATGTGTTTTCTTCAGAGGGGACACTGGGACACCGCGAGCCAGAAGTCCGAGATGGTTTAAAACCGGTCACACGACCTGTTTTAATATGTTCTTCATCGCTTGTGTTGGCACCTTCTGAAGCGCCGACTCGCCGGACTGAGTAGCGATGCCAGGAGCGCCCCTAGTAGCAATGCTAGGAGCTCCGTTCGTAGCGATGCCCTTTTTTACTACTAGCGATGCCAGGAGCTATACTAGTAGCTTCTTGCTACTTTCATGTTGAAGTATGCTCCCTGGAATCATCATGCGAAATCGTGGATGGCATGGCCCAGACCATGAAATTTGAAGACCAAACAGGTGGTGTCATCCACCTCCATGACGATTTCGAGTCTAAATTGCACGTGCTTTCTGGCTCAAAACCCCCCAAAGGATGGTCTATGGGCAATGGTGTTGACTAGGTTTTGACCAGAAACCATCCACTTCCAAGCCACTTCCGGCGGACCCCGGAAACTTCCAAGCTGCGTGAATACGTGAAGAGTCTTCCGACTGACTCAAGAGAATGAGCAAACTTTTTTGCATTTGAACCAAACCAGGTATTCCCCCCAGCTGGTGTAGGATCTCTTCCAACAGTGGAAAGCGGCTCTACGTGTGCCCTATCTGTATACTGTGTTCCTCTCACGAACATAGAATTGCAAGATTTCCTGTTTGTAGAGACAAAATGCTTTCCAGGGACCATACCATCCACTTCCATGATGATTTCAAGGGTGTGTATAATTTGTCGTTTTTGTATGACATCCGGTCCTGTTTGTGGGTCCTGTTTGTGACCTTCCTTGGTTTTTGACTCTAGAAAACACCATCAGATCCCTCCTCGAGCAGTGTTTCTTGATTGCTCCATTGAGGGCACCTTGCTGTCGGAAGATTCGATTGGCCAATGTCCAGGAGGCGGGGCTGTGGAAGGGCAGAGCGGCGCCACCAGGATGGAACTTGGGGAGGATAGGAACTTGGAATGATGCATCCACAGATGGCTTCGACATACATGGCCATCACTGGTGGCTCCATGGACATACATGGACATCAGTGACATCAACAGCTGACAAAGTAGCTTCTGAATCATTAGGGTGCCCCCCTGGTCAGAACCATCCGTGTTTGGCTTTTCCCAGGCTCAGTCACAGCACGTACGAGCCATTTCAAGGCTCCGAAGATCGGTATGAGGACGATGACGGAAGAAATGAACCCTTCCGATGTCCTGGTTATTCGGTTTTGCCGTCTTCGGAGCGATGCGAAGAGTTGAAACGGGGTGAATCCCCTTCCTATCCTTCCGGCTGGCTTCTTCTGCTTCTTCTCCTACTTTCATCACCCAAACCATACTTCTTTCTTTGAGGGAGGGACCTAAAACATGACCCTATTCTTGTGTTTTCCCGGCGTCCTTGACAGCAAGTATCATGTATCCAAGCTTTCTTGGCATGAAACAAGGCGCGTCCTATTCCCTCTCTCATCCGCTCAACCGGTCCGGTTTCTGTGTTTGCCAACACGCATCATGTCATTCTCTTACCTGAATACTCCGATGTTAATTAGAACAACTCTGACAGGGCAACATCTCTGACCTTCAGATATTCCGGGATACTCCGTCATCCTCCCATCAACGGATTCGCGAATTTCTACTGTAGGACTTGAAGATCGCGAAGGCAGCCTTGAGCACTCGTGCGGGTCCCTGGAGGGACCTTCCGACAAGCCACGGTGCTTTGGACGATGGTGTTTTCTTGTTTTGCTATTCCTTTGTGTTGGGGTATTGTTCCAGGCCAAGCTCGGTGTTCTCATTCTTCAAAGCTTCCTTCTCACTTTCTGCTTTCTTCTTCAAAGCTTCCTTCTCACTTTCTGCATCCTTCTTGAGCGCTGAGCGCTGACCTTCCGAACTTGCCTCCGAGAATCTGGGACATGCACGCTTGCGGCTTTCTGGTGTCCCATGGCATCTTTCGGATATTAGCTGTTGATGTCTTGTAAAATCATTGCATGTTGGAGGATGTGAGGCGGAAGCATTAGAGAATCAAGTGAAGCAATCAAGTATCCAACCCCTGAGGTTGACCTGACTTTAGGCACGGCTGTTCGTTCGCTGCTGTTCGTAACAAAGCAAACACACATGATTTTTCCATGGGGAACACCCAGTCGAAAGCTATGTGTGGCCACCTGTGGCGTCAGCTGTGCAGTCTTTGGGACTGACATGCGCAGTCGCAGTCTCGTGGCAGAATCCTGACACCACGAAGGAGAAGGGTGAGCGGTTTCGCATGAGAGAACACGGATTCAGAACGTGGTGCACAAGATCAGACTGGAAATACGCAGAGGCGAGCAGTGAGTACCTGATGAGGATAGCTGAATGCTGACTGCGTGCCAAACGTTGCTTTCTGACACCGGTTCAAGTCTACCTCCAGCTCTATATCCAGGTCTATACCTTCACTTCGGACGACACCACACAGTCAATCTAGAGCATCAAAGAAGTCCAAGACAATACATGAAAGGCGACAAGTTCTGCTCTGGCGCGCTCCCCCTTCGCTGGGGTCGGCGTGCACAATAAAAATAGATAAATCTACATTGTGTTTAAATATCACATATGTATGTTTGAAATCAGCTGAGCAAGAGTTGTTTGTCTTGAGAGATAGAATATGTTGATGGACAAACCATCCTGCACCAGAACAGGTCTAGTCTAGTCAGGTTTGCAATTCCAGTGTAGTTTCACCAGAACCCACATCCACATCCACCAACATTAAGAGAAAAGTTGCCATTTCTGAGTTTCATGTGTTTCAGAGCCTTTGGCGGGATTCATACGAACGCCCCACGGATTCACATGAATCTCACGGATTCACGCAGCCTCAAAGGAAGATTCATGAGTACCAGGGAGCTGGCGCCATCATCCTTGTCTAGCTGGGACCCGTTCGGAGCGCGGGGGGATCCACATTCAGGGAGAGCGACCACATGAGTTTTGTCCACTTCCTTGCTTTTGCTGGGCTTCTGTTTCCCAAACGCTCCATGTATGGTATATATGCCTACATTGGGGTAGTTTGAGGGGTCAATGTAGGCATATATATATATGAAATTGCAGTGTCCCCTTTCGAGCATTCGTTCACGCGTCAGATCCTGCAGGCAACTCGGTCCGAGGTCGGAAAAGGTCCGAGCGGCCGCGCGTTTGACCTAGGAAGGTCACGGGCTTCCCAGCCCTGGGTTTTGTAATTGGTAGCGGAGCCCCGCCACAGGGCGGGGCATCCGGGGGTTCCTTTAGCGTAACCTAGGTAGGTTGTGACGCGAAGCAGTGTCCCTTTTTCCTTTTAGGTTTTGTTCGCAGCCATGGCCAACGAGGGTGCTCAATTTGGGAACACCCGAAGGTTCTCAGGAGAATCGCTGGATCCCAAGGAATACCGGCGATGGAAGCTCTGGGCCGAAGCGAAGATGGCTTCCACCAAGGACATGACTGCAGGCCAGCGGGGCCCTTTTGTTTTGTGCCTGTTGGACGGCGTTGCTTTCGAAACGTGCGAGCACCTGCCACTGGACAAACTGAAGGAAGAAAATGGTTATAAATATGTTTGTGCAGCCCTGGATGAGAGATTTCCGGATAAGCTCAAGCACGACTGCCTGGCCGAATGTTTGAAGGAGATCTTCCAACTTCAAGCCCACGATCAAGAAACTATGGCTGCATGGACCAGCAGGGTCCAAGAAACTTTCTCCAAATGCCGTCGGAAGGTGGCAATTGAGTTTCCAAGTGAAGCCAAAGGATGGATCTGCTTGAACGCATCAGGCCTCAGCGAAGACCAGCGGGCCATCGTGACCGCAAAGACTCAAGGAGAGTTGAAACTCGAGATAGTCATCACCGCAATGCGCAGCTGTTTTCCGGAATTCCGTGCCACTCGTGCATCCCGGCTCAAAAGTGCCTCTGCTTTCGTGGTTCAGGACGAGCCCAATGACATGTCGGAAGAGCTGGGAGATGCAGAAGCGCCGGACACGGTGACTTTTGATGAGCTGGAGGCCTTCCTGGCCGAGCATGGCGTTCAAGAAGCAGGAACATCTTCGGCCGATCACTTCGAAGAAGAGGAAGTGGCCGAAGTTCTGGCGGCTACATGGAAGGAGAAGAGGACCGAGATCTCTCGCCTTCAGAAGGCAAGACGCTTCAGTCAAGCGTCGGAGATGAAACAGCGTTTCAGCAAGGAGGTCAAGGATCTAGAGAAACGATCGAGGTGTCGAAGATGCCATCAGATCGGTCATTGGGCGCGAAACTGCACAGCCAAGGTGACCACAACTACATCGAGTGCAAAGAATGCTGAACATCATGGAGCTGCAATGGTGACCGACTCGGTGACACAGGCTCAGACCCCTGCAGAGGTGTTCTTGGTTTCATCGCCAGGCTACGGCATTCTAGACTCTGGATGCAGCCGTACCCTGATTGGTCAAGAGACCCTGAACCAGTTCATGCGCCTCTATCAGGCCCGAGGATTACTGGTGCCAGCAGCAAGGCATCAGCACAACCTGTTCAAGTTTGGCAACGGCCATGAGGAGCTATCAGAGCGTGTTGTTTCTATGCCCGTATGCATCCACGGCAAGATGGGTCGAGTAGAAGCTGCCATTATCAAGGGGTCGGCACCTCTCCTTCTGAGTCGTAACACCCTCAAGAGCCTCAAGGCCGTGCTCGACTTCGAGGGAGAAACCCTCTCTGTGCAGGGAGGAGTCGCCCATCCTCTCCAAGTGAATGCCGCAGGTCAATACATTCTCAACGTCCTTGATGAGCAAGCGGAGGTGTTGCTGGCTTCATGCGCAGAGGACGACCTCCAGGAGGGTGCCATCAACATGCAAATCGAGCCCTCCGAGACGTTGCTTGCCGAGGAGGAGTCGTTGAGCCTGGCTCCACATGAGCGAACAGCAGAGTTCAGCAAGCGAGAACATCGGTGTCTCCTGGCCCAGAAACAGGCCTGGACCAAAGAACACGGCAGGTGCAAGGTGGCTGAGCTTTTCTCTCCCCCTCGGTTCGCCGAGAAGGCTCGACAGTGGGGCGCCGCCGGTTTGTCGTATGACATCAAGCAGGGATGGGACCTCACGAAGATCAAACATCAACAAATGGTGGATCAGGAGCTGGAGGAGAGTCGACCAGAGTTGCTGGTCTGCTGCCCTGAATGTAACATTGGGGCGGCTGGTATCGTCTGAACCAGCACCGACTTCCACTTCTTCAACAAATGGCCAACAAGCAACAGGCCAAGAAACAAGCGCAGTTCTGTGTGGATCAAATCAAGAAACAGCTTCGAAGGGGTGGAAGAGTGCTTTTAGAGCACCCCTGGAACAGCGATCTCTGGAAGTTTGAGCCACTACAGAAATTGTTCAAGTCCCAGCAATTGACGCTGACCCGGAACGACATGTGCGCTTTCGGACTCACAGATCCTCAATCTGGACTTCCTGTGAAGAAGCCGACTGGACTAGCCGTGTCGCACCCTGACATGATCGACCAGGCCATCACATGTCCAGGACACCGGGAACATCGCATGATCGCCGGTCAAAGTTGTGGGATGTCACTCAGTGCTCGCTGTGCCGAATACACCCCGTGTTTTGTCGAACACTGGCTCAAGTGTGTGTTTCCGGAGAAGCAAGTGTGTTTGTTTTCGTGCGTGCAGGAGACCACCTCTCATGTGAACTGTTCGAGTGAGGCTGACCGAACTCACGAATCTAACTGCCCCGAGCTTGAGGTTTTGGCTGCCAGTTCTGAATCTACGGCTGATAACACCAAAGTCACTACCCTCTTGAAACGAGTTCATACCAATCTTGGTCACCCGTCCTCAAGAGATTTGGTCAGAATCATCAAGAATGCCGGAGGTACAGAACAAGCAATCAAGCTCGCAGCAGACATCGAAGCCTCGTGCGACATTTGCTGTCAGAGGAAGCGCCCGACACCCGCGCTTCCAGCTGCACCAAACCATGCAACAGAGTTCAATCAGCGCATTGGCTGGGATGTAAAGATCCTAGGAGGTTGGAAAGTAGGACAAAAAGTCAAATGCATGAACATTGTTGACTACGCTTCCAGCTTTCAAGTCATGATTCCTTTCTTTGAACAAGAAACCGCCGATGTGTTAAAGCAGCTCTATTTGCGGGGTTGGCAGCAGTGGGCAGGCATTCCTGAGGAAGTGATCGTTGACCCGGCACGAACAAACACAGCAGAGTCCGTGTTTCAACAGTTGGAACGAGAGGGCGCAAAGGTGATCACAATTGCCGCCGAAGCACATAATCAGCTAGGTAAAGTCGAGAAACATGGTCATCTTTTCGAGGTTATCCTAACTAAGGTCCTTGATCAGGTACAGCCAAAGGATAGGTCCGAATATGAGCAGTGCATTGTCCAAACCATGAACGCAAAAAATGAGCTCATTAGCCAAAAGGGTCTGTCTCCATGTCAGTTGGTCTTTGGTCGGAATCCACGAATTCCAAGTGACCTCGTCCAAGAACAGCCATGTCCGGTCGCCGGAACTCAAGCCTTGCATGATTCTGCTGCGGCACGATCACAAGCCATTCGAATGCATGCACGAACAGCACTAGTCATGGCTCAGGATGACCAGAGCATGCGTTCAGCCCTGAACGCCCGTCCAAGGGTGGAGCGGGATTTTCTTGCAGGTGATTACGTGGCCTACTGGAGATCACAGAAATACGAAAAGGGGCAAAGAATCGTTGGGGGAAAATGGTTTGGGGTTGCCGTAGTCATGGGAAAAGTAGGACGCAATTTCGTGGTGCACCATCGCCGGAACATCTTCAAAGTTGCTCCCGAACACCTGAGACATGTTACCTCAGAAGAACGGTTGTTAGCACAAACTGATGGTAGGGAGTTGTTGGGCCTCCAAACTCTCCTCGATCGATCATCCCCGAAAGAGTTAGGGTCACAGTATGTTGATCTCACCCAGCAAGAAGGTCCGGAACAGCTGAGAGAAGCTGCTCGTGCCAGTCTCCATCCGAGCACAGAAGACTACTGGCTGAGACAGGACGACACACTGATTCGAGTGCATGTCAAGCCAAGGCAGGACACCTTCTGGCCAGACCCAAAGGATCCTGTAGTGAAGGGTTTCAATTTTGATGACATGAGGTTGACTAAGCGTTTCGATACAGGAGAACAGTTGGTACATCGCCCCCTGTCCAATCCAGGAGAATGTCGAATAACCTTGACAGGTACCGCATGGACAGGAGAGTCTCACTTTCGAGTTAGGACAAAACGAAATGCATCAAGTCCGGTAGGCTATGAGTCTTCTCAGAAGCGAATTGCCACAGAGCCAATTCCTCCGGCCATGGGGGAAACAAGTGCAATCCTGGAACCGGAAAAGGCCTCCGAAGAGAATCTTCCAGAGCAGGCCGCAGAAGCGCAGGTTCCAACAACCAGTTCAGGCTCAGAAAACCAGTACGGACCAGTTCGTGCCTCCCGAATTCGACAACAGAGCAAAGGGCCACCAACCTTTTGGTTGAGACCACCAGAGATGCTTCAGGACGACGTTCGGGATGTGTTGATGGAAACTCATGGAACAAAACGTAGTCACTCACCGGATAAAGAACAAAGTCAACCAAGCAAAACAGTTCGGACAGAAGAAGTCGATGAATGTCTGCTGGCCGACCTTGTGAAAGATTCTCCTCAAACACTGGAGGTGCTGGTGGCAAATTTCTTGAAAAAGAAAATGCAGAAGGAAATTCATCACTCCAAGAATCCACCTGAACTCCAAGAAAAGGTAGATGCTTCCAAGATCGTAGAGTGGCAAACATTGAGGGATGAAAAGAAAGCAATTGTTGTGATCCCCCCAAGACAAGCCCAGAGAATCAGAGACACCAAACCACATCGAATCATGACCTCACGGTTTGTTGTTGCGGAGAAACATGAAGATGGGGAATCCAAGGTCAAATCCCGCTGGTGTCTGAGGGGCCACCATGATCCAGATCTCACTCAGAAGATCCTGGCCGGCAAGTGCCACTCCCCTACCCTGTCTCAGTTTGGTCGTAGCATTGTTTTGCAAATGTTGGTGAGCAACCACTGGGAAATGAGTTTAGGGGATATAAAAGGAGCCTTCCTAGAGGCCGATGTAAAAGCCAAAGCACTTGCAAATCCAGTGTTCGCTGAGCTTCCCCCAGGGGGGGGTACCAGGCATCGAGGCCGGATCCTTAGTGCAGATCATGGGAAACATCTACGGAGCTAATGATGCGCCACAGGAATGGTACTGTGAGTTCGACAGAGTCGCAACATCAGCAGGTTTCAGCCGGTCCAAGTTCGATAATTGCCTGTACCTGTGCTATGGCGCAAACAATGAGCTCCAAGGCATTCTAGGTGCCCACGTCGATGACACCATCACAGGTGGCAAGGGAGAAATCTATGAACAAGCAATTAGGATTCTTCGAGAACGTTTTCCCTTTAGGAAGTGGCGCACCGGCGCAGGGGAGTTTTTGGGAACAGTGTACACTCAAGACCCAACCACCTTCGAGATCCGGTTCCAACAAGCAGAATATGCAAATCACATCCAACCAATAAAGATCTCAAAGGATAGGGCAAAGAAGCACTGGCTTGCGGCCACAGATCAAGAGGTAGCCGCTCTTCGAGCAGTGAATGGCGCCCTGGGTTGGCTCAGTTCCCAGACCCGGCCTGATCTTGCAGTGCAGACTTCGATAAGTCAGCAAGCTTTTCCAAGGCCTACTGTGTCCGATTTGTTGCACGCCAATCAGGCAGTTCGACGGGCCAGGCAACAATCAGACCTTCAGATTACTGTTCCATACATTCCTCTCAGCGAGCTGACTTTGTGTTTTTGGTCTGATGCAGCCTTCGCAAATTCATCCGAAATGAAAACACAAGGAGGTTGGTTGGTAGCCTTCACATCCAAGAAAATGAGTCAGGGTCACGATGTTCCCCTCTTCAGTTTTGCTTGGAAATCATACAGGCTACCCCGCGTTGTAGCAAGCACCCTAAGCGGTGAAGCACAGGCCTTCGCTACTGCTTCTGGGGTATGCGAATGGATGTCCCTTATGCTTTCAGAGTGCCTAGATGGACCCATTGAACTGAGTGAACTAGATGTAGCCTTGACCAAGCACAGTCCCATAGGCATGACCGACTGCCGTTCGCTGTATGATCACCTGGTATCACTAGGAAACGGAGGTTCGATCGACGACAAAAGAACAGCCATTGACGTGGCCATCATTCGCCAGTCCATCAGGAGGACAGGCCTAGAGCCCCGTTGGTGTCCAACCGGACACATGGTTGCCGATGGTCTTACAAAAGACCGAGCCGAACCGATCGACCTTCTTCGATCCGTTCTTAGAAGTGCCAAGTATCAGCTGGCCGACGAACAAGCAGTCCGCGACCGAAAGAAAGCTGAAAAGGAGCGACGCCGAAGAGTCGCATCAGAACGTACAGCAGCACATGTTTCTGCACAAGCCAAGCTCTCCGCTCAGAGAACACAGGGTGGAGACTCAGATTTGTAGTGAATGCGGGTCACTATGTTTTTCCTTGAAGTCTTTTGCAATCACCTCAAGTGCCATGTCGTGTCACTTTTAACTCCGTCCATTCGAGTTCGTTAGACTGCCTGCTTGAAGGAAACATAAGATGATGTATAGATAGGTTTTCTTCTTGATCGTGTATAGTGAAGTGTGAACTATGCAAACATGTTGTCTTCATAATCATTGCAATCCTTAAGCTCGAAGTTTCTGTCCAAGGTGGACAGAGCAAGTGCGATTTGATTCGGCAATCATCCTAGAGACGCAATGTCCGGCTTGACTCCAGTGAGCCCTGAGGAGCTGAAGGCAGCGGCTGATGTCTTGAACCGCTACCACACCTCAGGAGTTGCGATCGTGGATGCCTCACCTAGCGGCTATGCAAAGTCTGGCGGTTCAGGTTCGATGCATGATGGCTCCAAACGCCTTCGTTCCTTGGATGAAGATTGGGAGGCTGTAGAAGCCATGGAAGCTGCTACCAGCTACCAGAGCCCTGATGCAGCGCTGGTGAAAGATCGCATGGAGAAGAAGCCTGTAGACCAAATGCCGATTCATCCTGTGAGTGCCGGGAAGAAATGTGTCCTCCCACCAGGAATTTCCACGGTCAGTGAATGGGGTCAAACCCTGTGCACGCTACCCAAGTATGCAGCATCCAAATTGAGTTACCATGAAATGGTACTTGATGAAAGCAAGCATGGGTATTTGACCTGGGTCTTGAAACACGGGAAGGGCAGGGGAGGTCGTTTTGAAGACTTCTCTTCATACCTGGAGGCCATTGACTTTGAAAAGACATCAGGTCATTCCTCCAAGCCCGATGAAACGTTCCCGGGCAGCTCCGTTCGTCGCACTTTGAAGCCATGAGCTAATAGCATAGCAATGAATGCCAGGACACACCTCCTCTCGGCTGGATGCCAGGTTGTGCCATAAGGTTTCAACAGATGACCAAACAAAAGTTCTAGAAGAAAGATATAAAGAGGAGTGAAATTGCAGTGTCCCCTTTCGAGCATTCGTTCACGCGTCAGATCCTGCAGGCAACTCGGTCCGAGGTCGGAAAAGGTCCGAGCGGCCGCGCGTTTGACCTAGGAAGGTCACGGGCTTCCCAGCCCTGGGTTTTGTAATATATATATATATGGCATACATGGAGCGTTTGGGTTTGGAGAATTCAGAATGGAACCCATGATTTCGAGCTCTGTTCGGTGGTTTTTTCATTGGGTCCGGGATCAGGTTGACTGGCTTCCACGAAGATAATATCACCCAGCTTGGACATCTCTCTCCGCAGCCAGTTGAGATTGCAGAAACGGTATCTTTTGGTGTATCAGGGTCAGGGTTGTGCCTTCAACTGACAAAAATCCTGGTGGCCGACCCCAAGGCCTCCCAGCCGTCCGCGCCCGCCGGGGAGCTGAGAGTGACAGACGCTGAGACAGACGCCTCCATAACACCAAAGCACCGCACATGGGTGTGTCGTAGAATAGGGAGACCCCTGCAACGACACAAAAAGAATATAGACCACAACCCATTGGTGGGGGGTTTGCCTATTGAAATAAAAACCCACCATGAAACACCGGGCAGTACTCCCCATCCTTCCTCACCCTTGGACTGCGTTCTTCGGTTTGATCAGACTTGAGAAACCGGAGAAACTTCTGCTATAGAGGTCGTAACGACGGTCCTAAACTCCCGTAGTATCACTCTGGAGTCCTACACTCCCTTAGCCGCCTTAGCCTTCCAAGCCCATTAAAAGAGTATGCTTTGACCTGATGTTTGTCGTGTAATTAAAATCCTTCAGCCCACCTAGTAACTAGAAGGGCCGGGAGCGGTGAGACTCAGATCACAAGTTTGCTGTTTAGATCTGTGTAGTGTAAAAGAATCCTGAGTATAACAATGAGGTTCCTTCGATCAAAACCATGAAATCAATCCCAGACGCTCCATGTAGGCCATATGTGTCTACATTGACCCCTCAAACCACCCCAATGTAGGCATATATACCGTATATACCATACATGGAGCGTCTGGGAATGGTTGCTTTCAATTCGCACTTTTCACCGACTGGGTTGGACCATGCGATGCGTGCCGCGGGACGTGCTGCATCGTGGCCCAGGATCCCGGCGTGTCCATGCGGCCATCGGCGTTGGGGGACTGAGCTCCCGGGGGTTCCAATACACTGGTTGAGAGGATGTACATGTCTCTACCGGTGAGTCATGGTCGTTTTAACAATTTGTATAAATAATTACAGTATAGCTGAGCTTGGGAAAACATGTGTTTTGCTTAAGTTTATACATTCAATTTGCCTCCGTTGGTTGGACCAGTTTTTGAGTCTTTCCTCTACAGCGGGAGCCCAGCACAGCGGGATTGTTGATAGGGTGATATGTTTCTTCAAGGAAATCTTGCACGGAAGAGGTTTAATAATAGATTTGTATTTCCAGTTCAAGATGGTCCTTATTGGGCAGATCGGCTGGGAGTCTTTTCCCTTTTTGAGGAAGAAAGATTATCGCATATCCTCATGACGTTAACATCTTTTGCATAGCCTTTGTGAAAAGGTGATACCTGTATTATATATATATGTTACAAAGGGGATCTATTTCGGGCAACCATGGAGCAATGGAGCAATCGACGGCAACGTGTGTGTGTGTGTGTGTTTTTACGACCATGTGGGCCGCTGCATCTGAACTCTCCACCATTGGCTAGGCCTCCTTGGCCTTGGTTGCTGGCTCCGCAGCGCTTCATTGGGAGCCATACATGAGCGGAGGCTTCTGATGGGTGTGGGCTGAGCCCTGGCGACAGGCTACTGGCGACGAGTCGCTTTCTGACCCACTGGCGACGCGACTTGTCGCTGGAATCATTGGAACTGGTGAGCACCCATGATAATTACTTGCAATATGCGATAAGAAACTTGAGAATTCCCCCACTGATGGCTTGGAACATGTTGCATTGGTCTCCCAAGAAGCCACAACAATCACTGAATTCATTGTTCAACCATTCAACCATCAAAGCTGCAACGCAGGGAACCATCCAGGCGAAAAGGCTGTGGCAATGACTGGATTCGCCTATTACCTAAGTTCCGGTCGGTTTGAAGATCCTGAGGTCACGCCCTGACGTCAGTGGTTGTTTCTGTTTCCGTTTGTGGACGCCCTGTGCGCAGATGAGGTGAACGGCGGAAGGCTGAATTGGAAGGGAAATCTTCAGATTGGGAAAGCTACTCACCATCCACTCTTCAACGAAAACCTTGATGTTCATTCATTAAAAGGCATTGTCCACTTGGATATTAGTGGGTCAGATTGCATCCAGAGATGGACATGCCTGGACCCAATGTCGACATGGAGCAACCTTGATATGAAACTTCAGGCATCTTTCGGGTGATCTGAGATCCAAAGAGGTTTCAGGGAGTGTAGCGGAGTGTAGGACGTCTGGCTGTTGAAAGGCCCCTTGGATCATAAAGCCGACCTGAACCCTAGCCGTAGCCAAGGCCAGGGTTTTTTGCATGGCCAGAGACCTGATCCAGAGCTGACACTGGTGAAGCTTGATAGGTCTTTGGAGAGTGAAATAATATCCAATGTCGAATTCATTTTTCCGCATGCGTTAGACAATATGGCCTACACGATTGGCCGAAAACGATTAAAACCGTCATATAATTGGGTAAAAATTGATATACATAATAGTTGATAATATTATTGATATTATATATATATTATGTATACAATATATATAATCTTAATATATATATATATATTGTTTCTCTTTATATACTAAAAATTACTTTACTTCGAGGGATCCCCACCATGACATTTCAATCATTTGACTTGATGCCATAGTGAAGAGCATGTTGCCATGGTCGTGAGTATTGTAGTTCTCGTTTTTGCTTGTGGGTCCTCGGGTTGTGTGCTGCGGTTGTGTGTTGTGGTTGTGGTTGTGTGCTGTGTTGTGGTTGTGGTTGTGTTTGTGATTGTGTGTTTGTGGCTGTGTGTTTGTGATTGTGTGTTTGTGGATGTGTTTGCGGTTGTGCTTGTGGCTGTACGTTTGTGGTTGTGTCTTTGTGGTCTTGTTGTTGTGGTTGCGTGTTTGTGGTTGTGTGTTTATGGTTGTGTGTTGTGTGGTTGTGTTTGTGTTTGTGTGTTGTGGCTGTGTGTTGTGGTTGTGGTTGTGGTTGTGTGTTTGTGGTTATGTGTTTGTGGATGTGGTTGTGTTTGTAGTTGTGTGTTTGTGGTTGTGTGTTTATTGTTGTGTCTTTGTGGTTGTGTGTTTGTTGTTATGTTTGCGGTTGTGTTTGTGGTTGTGTGCTGTGGTTGTGTTTGTGATTGTGTTTGTGGTTGTGTGATCGGATCCTTGCGGTTGAGGTCCAGGGGTGCACACTGCGATCGGATCCTTGCGGTTGAGGTCCAGGGATGCACACTGCGATCGGATCCTTGCGGTTCAGGTCCAGGTGTGCACACTGCGAGGGGATCCTTGCGGTTGAGGTCTAGGGGTGCACACTGCGCTCGGATCCTTGCGGTTGAGGTCTAGGGGTGCACACTGCGATCGGATCCTTGCGGTTGAGGTCCAGGGGTGCACACTCGGATCCTTGCGGTTCAGGTCCAGGGGTGCACACTGCGATCGGATCTTTGCGGTTGAGGTCCAGGGGTGCACACTGCGAGGGGATCCTTGCGGTTGAGGTCTAGGGGTGCACATTGCGATCCGGAGCTGGCCAGACGGAAGGAAGCAAGGAGGACGAGGAGGCGAAGGAAGAACAATTGTGATAAAATCCAACAATCCTCACCTGGCAGGTGGGCAAAAAATATCGAATTTAATATTGTTATATATATTATAAAATTGGATATATATATATATATATTAATTATTGATTCTATATTTATATATAATCTATATTTAATAATTATGATTATGAATATGTAAATAATTATTGATAATATTACTATATTATTTAGTATAAAAATTATGTATATAGTGGATTTTGGATGGAAGAGGATATTGGATTAAATTATATTAATATATAATAATTAAATAAATGTATTATTTATAATTATTGAATTTGAAATCTATTATTAATGATGTTATATTTTTGGTTTCTATTTTTATTTTGTATATTATTCGATATATAATATTTTTGTTTGTCGTAGGATTTTTTTTTAATTTCAATGTTTATTTTTATGAATTGTATTTAATTATATGGATTTGGTGTTTAATGGAACCGGTTTTATTCGATATGATATTTATGAATATATCGAATTTAATGTAAGGATTAATTGATTGATTTAAATAATATATTGTATTTTATTGAATATTTATTGGTCTAAGAATTGATATTAATTGATGGGAAAGAAGGTGATTGTAAACGATTAGAATCGGGGATAAATGCCCTTTAAATTTCGATTTTTTGGAGATAGAATAAGTTTGGTCGGATATGTTTCGAGTCTTGTTATTTTGGACTTTAATATCGAATGAAGGAAATGACAATTTATTGCGTATGATAGGCAGATTCTCTTTTCGATAGGAAGATGTCTTGGCTTAATTGAATTTCGATAAGAACTAGGAAATATTATGTTTTATTTCATCGGGTAGTTTTTATTTCTGTTGGGCTATCCGTATAGGTTTAAGTTGATGTCTTAAAAAGAATATATTGGTAAAAACCATGTTTTATTTGATGTTTTGAAACCTGTTGGGATAAAGCTATGTTAAAATTGATGTTTTAGTGGATGTTTTGAAATTATATGATATATGATATAGATATATGAATTAAAATGATAATATAATATGTGATTATAAGTTCGTCAGTTGCAAAATGGCAACGCTCCCTTTTCCACGTTGTCCCCGGTTTAGTGGTAATTGCACAGTGAATGTAGCCTTGAGTGGCCTACAGCCTACTCCTGACCATTCTCAAGCTTCAGGTCCTTCTTTGACTTTTTGTCCTTCTTGGATTTCTCCTCGCCGCCCTCCTTTTTGCGCTTGTCCTTCTTCTTAGATTGCTTCTCTTTCTTGTCTTTCATTGATCCCGATCCCTTGGCCTCAGCAGTGGACTTCACCAAGTCACCAAACATCTTTTGGAGCTTGTTAGGAAGCTCCTCCTTCGTGATACCAAACCCCTTCCTCATGGTCTCTTGCGTCGCCTTTCCATCTTCTGGCGAGGAAGAGGTGTTCAGCAACAAAGCTGCGGCCAAGAGGACACTTCCAATGAGATTGGCCTTGGAAGCCAAGTCCACACTCTTCTTGTGCAACTGGCCACACTGCTCGATCAACTCTTTGAAGTCCTTGCAGCTGGTGCTGTGTAAGCAAAATTGCGACAGAGCCTTCATAGGGCCTGCAGCGTTGCTCTTCGCGGCAATGATCTGGTCCAGCGCCTCCCGAGTTTCATCCTGATTCTCATTGAAGAAGGAGGCCACTAGTTGCATTTGCCACTTTTCCGCAGCAGGCAAGACACACTCATACTTGTCAAGAAATTGCTGGAAGATTGCCAGGTGGGCGTCCTCAAAGCTCTTCACGGCCACCTTGACTGAATCCAGGAACGCTCCCCTGAACTCCGTGAAGCTTTCCACAAGAGACTGGAAAAAGGTATTCTTTTGGATGAAGTCATTGTTGAGAGCGGACCCAATGGACTCAAAATTGGAGATGCTCTTGACAATGTCTTCAAGGTCGATGCTCTCGGATTTGCAGGAATCCTTCAGGATCTGGACCGCCTTTGGCACATCGCCGATGGCCTGACCAGGCAAATTCCCAACCCAAACCTGAAAACAATTTAGTACAGCCACTGAACAATGCCACAGCTAATGCCACACAATAAAGAACTAACTTACTTACATTACATCATATCATATTTGTCCCATTGATCATTGATCCCATTTGTCTCATGCAAGCACAGTATTCAATGTGCAGTATCCTGGTCCTGTAAATTGTATTTGTACCTGTATGTATGACTCTAGCTATAGTCTGTAGTCAGTCGGTCGTCAATGGATGTTGATGGATTCCAGGGTTCCAGAATCGTGAGTCCTGGAGTCCTGTAATTGACAAAAAAGCCTGAAGCAACAAGGTCCAAACGTCTAAAAAGGTATTTTCTTTGATTCCTAAGTCAATCTTGCCCACTGTTCTTTGACCTGGCTGGTGCAAAGAAATCTCGAATCCAACCCTATCACAAATCCAGTATACAGTATGAATCGTATGAATTCTACCTAGCCCTGCTGCCTGCAAAGAAGCTGCCAAAGAGTGGAACTCGCTGGTCACCATGCGTTCGTAGTCCCAAGCTTCTGATGAAGGTGGGCCAGCGGGATAGTTGACGATGAGCTCCAAACCTTTGGCATTGCACACCCTCTCCACCCAAGAGATGTGTTTCTTGAACTGCGAAATCGCTGGCATCATTCCATTCCTCAATGGCAATCTTATCGCTGAGTGAAGTCTATTGAGAAACAGTCTCAGACCTAGCTTCAACGGGGTGAACAGTAAATAGCAAACAGTCAAGTGAGAGGATTCAGGATTCATGATAAGCAAAAAACATAACACGAATTCAAATTCGATACACGTACAGTATGATATGATTTGATGATGATTTGAAAGGAAACGTGACGCTGCATTATCATTACCAGGTTTCTGCAAGTCTTCGCTGTCCACATCCTTCAAGACTTTGTCGAAAACAGCCGTGGCACCACGCACAAAGCTCATGAGCAGCAGCAAGTGCTTCCCAGTCATGTCAAGGTCTGTCTCATCTAGGTCTGTGGCTCCAGCAGGCTGATGGCGCGTCAGCTCACAGCACTTGAGGAAGGACTCCAGGCCAAAGATCGGCTCAACGCCGGTAGAAGCAATGGCTTCCATAGCCAACTGCATCTCACCTCACGACTCAGCTGGGAATGGGCATGTGGAATGTGACAGGCTGGTAACCAATAAATTCTCAACTCGCAGACTCACAGTGAAGAAGCAAACAACTTTCATTTACACTGCACTGGAGCAACGTTGGGCAACAGTTTAATAAAATGAAGATCTGTCAGTTAGTCAAATATAATAAGTGAGTCAAGTGAGTACTAAGTACTAGTACGTCAGCCCGAAATTGAAACAGTCATCAAGGTATCAAGGAATCCGGAATCAAGGTCAAGGTGCATTGGAGCATGAAGACGCTGTCGATGTTTGAGGCCAGTTTCAAAGCACCTGGCGGGAAGCACTCCGCGAGGTCGGTGATGCCTTCCAACTCCAAGAGGCTTGGTGAGAGCACGGTTCCCAGTGGCTGAAGGACCCTTTCAACAGGAGGCCTGAAGTCCTTGAACCAAGTGGACACCTCCCGAATGTACTGGAAGAACTTGGCCTTGGAATTAGCATCTTCCTCAAACAAAGAGTCCTCGTCTGAGCAACTAGCCAGCATCTTGGTAAGGTCCCTGATGGACTTTTGCTGATCCTCAGAATAGGTGCTATCATCCGCGAGCTTCTCCAAACTAGTCACATCCCCGCAAAGCTTGCCGAAAGAGACCAAATCAAGGGTTGGGATGGTCCGCTCAGCAAAGGCTTTGGACTCTGCCAAAACTTGACTCCACAAAAGCCTGGGCAGGGAAGGTCTTAGAAAGGTTGGGTGAACAGCAGCTGCATCTACGACCTGCAGCACCAATATAGACAAATGGAATGACTCGGAAAAACACAGCACTCAAATCTGGATTGGGATGAGATGGCGGGTGTTTCAACAATGGTGTCATGTGATACAGGTGACGTGCGCACAAACATTGCAAGCACCAAAACACAGTTTCATGATCCAAAATACAGTATGAATCGTGAATATTCAGAAGGGAACAGACTTAATAATCATGAATCATAAATGATGATTGAAATGATCAATGATGAACGTTTAACTGATAACACATATCGTGGCTGTCCCAGCCTCCACTCAGACTGGGCATTCATAGCCATGACCATCTTACTGGAAAAGCTAGTCTCGCGACTCACCATGGAAAGGAAACGTGGCTCTGGCTTCTTGTTGTAGATCTGAAGGCAGGCCAGGATGCGTTGGAGGTCAATCATCACTTGTCCTTGAAATCCTGTTCCATTGGGAAGGCTATGGAAGTCAACGTCTGCAGGCACCATGTCCGATGCTGGAAGCCTCAACAAATTTGGGAATTGAGGCCGGCAAAGAATAGCTTAGCTACTGGACAATGACAATTTCACAATAATAAAAAATTGGAACTTTTCCAAAGTGAAACTTTTGGACATGGCACGAGCAAGCGACTCGGCAGGTTCTCTGGCTCAAGTCAGAGAGCTTTTTTGACGCGTGGGCTCGCCGCCATGATCCGCTGGAGGGCAGCGGTGGTGGTTAGCCTATGGGCTACCCAAGGCTGTGGCTGGTGGCATCCAGCCTTAGAGCCGATGGAGGACGAGCCACCACGGTTCCAAGAGGATCCTGCTGGCTATGTCAGATGGTGGAGCAACAGCACCATCAACCAGGCCCACTGGCTCTTCAAGGAGTGGCGGCCGGGCACCTGGGATGGGCTGGTGTGGTCCATTCTGGACACCATTTTGAGCGGCTTCGGGTGGATGATCTTCGGGCAGAATTGGGCAAGTGTTCGCAGCGGCTGCTCGTTAGTAATTCGCCTTGGGGCACTGATGGCTTTGTGCCTCCTCACCCACTACGTCCTGTCCTTGTGCTGGCCGTTGTGCTCCTTGTTCATCGGCACCCTCCTGACGATCATCTGGGTCCTACGAGGCTGCGTACGATGTTGTGGAAGGGCCACGTTCTACGTACAAAGGTGGACCGGGGGGTCCCAGAAGCTGTGGGCGCCCGCTTCTTCAGGCCTGGAACAGGTGAGATACCCGAGACGGTGGAGTTGAGGAAGTTGAAGAAGGCAGGCGACGGAGATCGATGGGTGGTGCTTCGCCGCGGTCACGACCAGGTTTAATCGTGAAGGTGGTGGACAGCTCCAGCATCAAAACGAATGGCATCTTCCTCACCATTGAGCCCGAGGCTACTAGGGGTGATGCCGCCCTTTTGTTGGCGCTCCAGGGCTGTGACAAGGTGCACCTATGTCGGCATGATTCGTGCCAAGAGGAGGGTCAGCATTTCAAGCTCTATGCCCTCGCGAGTGAGTTGAATGCCGAGCACTTCCATTTGGCCACCTCGGCCAAGGACGCGAAGCGAGCTGGTTCCAGGATCTTTGCCTGGATGAGACGGGGCGCTTCGACTACGGCCAAGCGGCTCAAGGACTACACCTCGGAGTCAGAGCGTCTTGTCAGGCATCACGGCTGCGGTGGGAGGATAGTACTGGGAGGCAAAGCCTGAGCGAGCAAGGATGTTCGGAGAAGGGGACGGTTAAAGCAATGTTGCCAGAGGAGGATCGACAGACTCTTCCAGCGGGGTGTACATTGTGTTCAAACCGCGCTCTGAGGTATGCCCAGCTGAGAGCCTCACAGAAGTGTTCCATCATGGGTTGCTACAAGCTCGGCTATGTCACCAAGCAGGGGCTTCGTGTTTGTGGAGAACACGAGGAGGCCTTCTAGACGCCTCCACCACGCAGAACCTCCAGATCTAGGTCGCGGACCAGGAAGCTTCCACCGGCGGGAGAAGAAGCAGATGAACCAGAAGATGGTGAAGGTGATGCTGGTCTTCGTCGACGAGTTCGTCCACGTGGGGTCAGCTACGACGTGGAGGAGGCGGAGAATACGCTAAAGGAGGTGAGAGCAGAAGAGGATCGGACGGCTACGCGGCGTAGGACTACAGCTTCCCCGGGACACACACCAAAGTCTTCTGTGCAACACAACCTGGCTAGGCTTGGCATGATCAACTCGCCGGACCGGAAGGGATTGGCCTCGATCTTGGAGGAGTTCATGGAGCAGTTGGTGGATGGAAAGACTTTGGGCTTGGAGGAAGAGGATATTCGCAAGCAGATGGCCGCGCAGTACGGCATGACCCTGGTCGACCTCACCAAGCAGCTGTTCGAGCAGGCCACGGAAGAGCAACGGAAAGGGACAAAAGGGCTGACCAAGTTCCTCGCCAAGTGGCGGAAGCAGGCAGCAGCTCGAGAGAGCTCCAGTTCTGACAGCTGGTGCGTGGTCACCCCAAGTCAGTCTCCGGGGGCATCTACGGCACCTCGAAGTGAAACCGCTACCCCTGAGAGTGTGAAGGAAGAGGTGCCACGATCTCGAAAGCCTCCGGGTTTGGTCACTTTAGCACCGCCTGGGATCTATGACCCTGATCGGAAGGCCGGAACCGGTGAAGAACAGCAGCCGCAGTCCGAGATGGTGGGCATCGCCAAAGCAATCCAGCAGCAAACAAACGAATTGGCCTCGTTGGTGAAAGCGCAGCAGGAGAGCACGATGGCCCCAGGCGGCTCCGTGAAGAGTTTGGGACGAACCTCAGAAGAACTGGTTTACCTCCTTCGTGCATGCGAGCAGTATACTGTGCAGGTCGGCGGCGGAGAGTATGGGGCCGCGCTGGCTAGCGCTCTGCTGGCCGCACAGGCAGGAGCCTCAACGAAGTTGCGCAATGCAGGCTTCAGACAAAAAGTCACCACGAGGCTTGCCGTCGGATTGGCTGGGCCACACTGGGGAACGCAAGAGAAGTACGCATTGTCAGCAGCTGACTTCACCCCGAGCACCGACGCGGAGTTGGACCAGTTCGCCATCGAGAGCCGCACCGGGAAGGTCTTGACTGAGCAGAGACCAGCAGCCCCAACCCGATATGAAGACTGGATTAGCCGGGTCAGGAGACAAAACGACATTTGGGCTCTCGTATACGGAGCCGAATGGAAGAATGTGAAGGATCATGCCGCAAATCTCCTGAGCGAGTGGCATCTTGGTGCCCCACACCGGTGGCCGCTGCAGGTGCTATGCGACGTGTGGGAAGAACTGCACTGGCGCTTCATCGAAGAGCTCAAGGAGGAGTTGCGTAAGATCAAGAAGTTGGCCGGGCGAGAATCCATGACCTTGCAGGACCTCAAGTTCTATGCGCTCATGCCAAATGAACAAGGAGAACCCCCTCTGCAGCTGCCGCGCACTTTTGACCTCAAAAACCCGGATGGGTGGTTCATGACCGAGGTTCTCCCCCGTATCGAACGTCGACAGGAAAGGATGCTCTGGAAGATGACCTGGGAAGGAGCAGGAAAAAACCGAAGCCAAGGGCAGTCGGCTGGTGGGGACGGTGGAGCACCAAAAGGGGAGAAGACCGGGTTGAGTCTCAAGAACCTCTTTGGCCCCAAGCTCACGCCGGAGGAAACCAACAAGGCGAAGGACCGGGCACCCACCAACAAGGACGGGAAGCTGTTGTGCTGGGGTTTCCTCACTCACCTGGGTTGCAACCAAACCAACTGCCAGCGAGCCCATGAGCAGCTGAAGGGCACCTTTGAGGCTTTGGACCCTGCAGTGCAGATGCAGCTTCTACGACGTGGAGGCCTCAAGAGGATGCGACCGGAGACCAAGGACAGCGTGGTGGAGAAGATCAAGGCCCTAAGGAACCAGGTCAGTCAGGACAGGACAAGTAAGGTTCAGGATGGCAAGGATCGACGACGAGCTGGCCAAGAGGGAGAGCGAGAAACCCAAGAGTCAAGCCCGGAGAAGGCAGGAGGTCATCGAGTCCATTGGGAGGCCCCGGAGGAGATGCGGAACGTGGACTTCACCGCCCAGGAGCAGGAGTTCGCGGAGATGGTCAGAGGGCCAGATGAGAATATCTTTCAACATGTGGAACGTGAAGCACTACCACATCCAGGACGAGGAGGTGAATCAGGACCGTGGGAGGCGCAGGAGCTCATCCGGAAAGCTCAGCAGCTGGCAGATGGCCCTGTCCTGGGAGCTCTGAAGGAAGCATCGGATGACCTCTATGCATGGGCGGCCACGAGGGTCGCAAATGATCCGGCTGTGGGGCTTCAGGAGCTTCTCGAGGAAATGAATCAATTTGACCTTGGGGAACTAGCCGCAGAGGCGGCCGCCATCTTGGACAAGCAGGATGGGGGAGAGAAAGCAGGCCATGCGGGGCGGTGCCAAGTCGGTGAATCAACGTGGGACTCCAGTGGTGTTGGCAGGGCTCTAGTCCATGTGGACGGCACAGCGTGGGCTATGTGGGACTTTGGCGAGATGGTGGAGATGACGGAGGAGCTGGCTGGGCTGCTGGGGGTCTTGGAGGCAGAGCCGGAGAAAAGGCAGTGTGTTACCAAGGTGCTAGCGGCTGGATCGCTTTGGGCAAAGACCTCGAAAGTACCATCCATGGAGGAGGTCGAGATCACAGCCAAACAGTTCCGCTTGGAGCAGGCCCGGCTGGCGGCCGATGCAGAAGGGGTCATGGGACATCCTGAAGCCAAGGTGGCCCCAGTGGAGCATGAGCTGCGCATGTACTCCCATGATATCCTAAAGGCCCATCACGACAAAGATTACAGAGCGCTGGCGGTTTTTCCTTTGAACGACCTGGACCACCTCAGGTTGGTAGTGCTCAGAGTAGACTACAAGGGGGATCTCTTGGTCGAGACGGTCACAGGAAGCCAGTGGACGGAGCAGCAGCCCGACGTGTGGGCGTTGATCTGCCGCGGACACATGACACTGCTCGTTCCTCCGGATCCCGCGGAGGCCAGGAAGCTGATCCTCAAGGAGGAGGCGTACAATACCCCCAGCTTTGGCTTCAGATATTTCTGGCACCAGCGACATGATCAGCCTCGAACCAGCCCTGGTATTCTGGCTTGCCGTTTGTGTAAGCCAGGGCGGAAGGGAGGGAGCAAGGAGCCCTATGGCATGGTGCGCAAGACTTCGTGCTTACCTGCTTTGGCAAGGGTGTTGGCGGGTAGTCCCCAGCCAGCCCGACCGGTTCCTCCCGCTGCTGGACGCCAAGGACTCGTGCTCCGTGAGTACTTTGCTGGCCATGGGGTCATCACGAAGGGTTGGCAGGAGGCCGGCCTCACAGCGCTGGAGCCAGTGGAGCTCTATCAAGATCCTCATCAACAGCTTGGACCACGCCAGGAGCACGATTTGTCCGTGAAGGAGAACCAGAGCAAGTACCTCCAGGGCATCCAGCAGGATGAGACCAACGTGGAATGGATTGCCGCTCCGTGCACGACTTTCTGCGATTGGGCACTTCAGAATGGGGGGCACTCGCACCTTCGACAAACCAGAGGGATTACCCACGCCAAAAGAGCATCAGGGCAACGTGCTGTCGGCCTTTGGCGCGCAAGCCTTCGAAGCGGCCATGCAGCGCGGACATTTCCCCATTGCAGAGAGCTCTGGACCCTCAGGCCGATACCCTAAGCAATGGAACCTCCCGTGTTGGCGGCGCATCCTGCAGCTCCCCAACGTGACCTTTCTGGAGATTGACATGTGTGCTTTTGGTTTGGGGCCCCCCTGATCAACCAGGCTGCTTTTACCGGCATCGCACGGGGCTTGCCTTTCCGCACCATCCACCTTTGCGCCAGGCACTTTTGAGGCTCTGCCCGGGCATCTCGGCCACACATACACATGTTCCCCTCAAGGGCAGTCGGCCGGGCGCTACGGTGTCGAGATGCACAGAAGCTGGTGTGTACGCCCCAAATTTTGTGCTGGCGGTGGTGGAGACCTTGGTTGAGACTTTGGTAGTGCGGGGGGGGGTCTCTTCGCCACAGCCAGCGCCTCGTGTCCGAGCTGGAGGAGGCGCTTGTGAAGTTGGTGAGGATAGGATAGTCAGGGAAATGGCGTACGGGACGTTCCCGAAGAGTCAGGGCCATCTCGTGATAGCGGAGGAGGAGCTGAACCTCAAGATGGACCAGATCTACCTCCAGGACTATCTGGACAAGGCCGCCCACATGACTGCCGAGCCGGAGGAGACCTTCGAACTGGGGCAGAGCTACGGACAGGACAAGCTGACCAGGGAGATCGAGGTGGACCGCCGCAACGCCAGTCGGAATGTCGACCGGGGAGGGAGGTCCAGGAGGAAGAGTCAGAGCTCGGGGAGAGTGAACCCGGAACGCTGGGCAACGATCGAGAAGAGGAGGAACCTGATGGCTCGCCTCGTGGGGTGTGGGCTCAACCGGAAGGGGCGGAGGAACTCGAGGAGGAGCCACGTTGGGAGGAGGAAGATAGCCTCGACCGCGAACGGCGGGAAGAGCAGGATAGTCTGGAGCCCCAACGGGAGGAGCCAGGCGAGGAAGCGGCGGAGGAACCAGCAGTAGATCCTCTCCCGGCAAACATCCTCGATGTGTGGTACAATGGGCAGCGAATCCTGGGTGTGGGTGATCGTGATCCCGGACCTCAGGATGATGATCCACGAGATACACTGCAGGTGTCCACCAACTTGGGACACGTGACGATTTATCATGGGCAGGTGCGACGGCAGCTCTTCACACCAGGAGCGATTGGCTTTCCGTTTGCATTGGACCGACTCCGAGATGAACGCTTCACTCGGTGCGAGTCCCGCGATCAGGAAGGGGTCATTCTGGAGGCGGAGATCCGGGACAACTGGCGAGAGCAAGGGTCCGCACCTGGGCCTTTTGGAGCATGGACGGGTTCAACTACCTTCGTGTTCAGGGGCTACCCGGTGCCGTGGGAGCGGGGAGCGCAGCAAGGTCCCGATCCAGAACCTGGCGAACCTTCGGGGGGGGCCACCCCCTCTAGATGACATGGAGGGCGACGAGTACGAGGTGACTTCCAGCATTGAGGAGGAAACCGCAGGAGAAGAACCCGGTCGGAGCAGGTCACCTAGAAGAAGGGCTGGTGGAGATGGGGGCCCAGGAGATGGAGGCACTCTTCGACCTGGGCTATGGGCGGCCGCGCGGAACTATGTCGAGACCATTGATGACCTGACGGGAGCAGGGGCCAAGGCATGGCAATCAGTGCGTGAGAGTGGGGACGCTTTGTTGACAAAGGCTGGCACGGTGGAGGAGGCGGCCAACGCGTTGTGGATGGTGAGGGAGCACCTTGGAAGAAATAACCTGCAAGGGGTGGATGATGACTATCTCCGGGAGGTACTTCATCCAGACCATCTGGACTACATGCGGGAGATTCGTCACCAGGGGCTACCGGCTCGATACCAGGGAGTACGGGAACGAGTTCGACGGAACCCTCACCCTCGAGCACGTGACAACCTGCCGCAGGTGTACCACCAGCTCATGAAGGACGTAGCAAAACATCGGGTTCTGGTGGCATCGGCGGACCATGGGGCGTTGAAGTCGACGGTCTCTTCTCCCTTTGAGCTCGTCCCGAAGATGCTCCCGAATCGCACGTTGTCCAGTGAGAGTCGACTGGTGCACGATCAACGGCAGGTCAACCAGGGCACCGACAAGTCACTCCACCCGCCGGCTGGGCAGCCCTATCACGAGCAAGTAGCTCGACGTATCCTTTGGCTTCAAGCTCACTACCCAGGCGTCGATGTTCTCCTCGCGAAGAAGGACGTCGCGGGCGCCTTCAGGCTGCTTTGGGTCGCCCCCCAGGATGTGGAGCTGTTTGCAGGGGACGTACCCTGGCGTCCACGGGAGCTAGGAGCAACGGAAGAAGAAGCGGCTTCGCTAGAGGGCTACAGCGACCTGACGCTCCTCTACCTGGTCTCCAGCTTTGGGTTCTCCGGGTCACCAGGAGAGTGGGCAGTGTGGGGCAGGGCCACGGAGGAGGTCCACAGGAATCACCGGCCGCAGGAAGCCAGACGTGACGGGGCGATTCACTTCTGTGGCAAGATTTTGGTTGACGACATGATCCTCATTGAGCCCCGTATTGGTCTACGGCCTTGGGTGTCTAGCGAGGCCTACGAGTGGACGGTGGTCAAGCTCTTGGGCGAGAAGGCCATCAACAAAGCGAAGGACTTGGAAGAAGGCACATTCGAGTCACAGCAGACGGTGTGGGGCCTATGCATGGACGCGGGCACGAACCGGATGTCGTTGCCGGAGGCGCGGATCTTGAAGGGCGCCTACCTTCTGGCGCAGCCGACCTTCAACTACGGGGCGACGCATTTGACGTTGAGGGATCTCCAACGGTTCCGGGGGGTAGCTACCGGCTGGGCGGTGGTGGTTCCAGGCCTGAAGAATGAGCTCCGAGCTGCTGATCGTTTCCTGGGGGGAGTGGACGGCCAAGCGGCGATCTCGCCAAAGCTCTCGGGCCGAAGGGACATCGAGGAGGCCGAGACTCAGCAGGCTTGGGAAGACCTATGGCAGCTGTTCGAAGATTGCAGGTGGATGTGTGCTCGGTCGGAGACCTGGTCGGAGAAGTTTGGGGGTCAGATCGCGGAGCTGCTGCCGCCTTTAGAGCGGCTGTCCTTGCCTGGGTCTCAATGCCACACCCCAGTGTTTGTCTCGTCGGACTCCACCCTGGAGGTCATTGCGGCCATCGATTGGACCCATAAGGTGGCATGCAGGGAGAAGATGAACGAGCTGCGGAAGTGGATCCATCAGGTGGTCCAGGCGGAGGGTGACGACCAGAAGTTAGCCATCCACCTCGGGGAGATGCTGAGCTTCGTCGCCTTTGCGTGTGCGGTTGGACCGGCGTGGACGGGCAAAGTGGTGATCTACGCGGGGGACAACAAGATCGTGTACCACTGGATCTCTGGAAGACGGAGTGGAGTGAGAGCCGGGCGGTTGTTGGTTCGGGTCCTGAATTTGGTGGAACAACGTTACCGCTGCCGCATCTTGGGAGGCTGGTGGAGGACCTATCACAACGAGGACTCCGACGCTTTGACCAGGTTGGACGATGAGAAGGCCATGGAGCACGCGGCGGTGAAGGGTTGGCGCATGGTGGACATCAAGGAGGCTATCCAGTCGGCGCTTGAGGACACGGAGAGGTTTGGCGCCTGCTTCCTGTCGTGGGCGGATCAAGAAGATCGTTTTGAGCTGATGAGGCTGAGGGAGCTCCGTTTGTTTCGGTCCATCATGCGGCAGCCAGCTGACCTGGAGTCGGTTCAGGTTACGGAGTGGTGCATGGGAGAAAGGAGTGTCAAGGACTTTGAGCACTTCTCCGGGTATGGACAAGAACTCCGGGTAGTGGCAGGCACCATTGGCCCGGACCCCCGGGGGAAGGCAGTCAGGGCTTTCGTCCGCTTCCTTGAGACGGAGACCTTCGGAGCCGCGGTGCTGGAGGGTCCTCGGGAGGTGGCTTGGGACGTGCTTCGCAAGTGGGGTGAAGGGAATGGCTGGAAGGCGCATCAACTAGAGTACCTGACCTCCGAGCTCGGGGAAGCGATGGTTCGTCGGCGGGTGGCGCTCTTCCTCCACCAAAGTCGGTTTGAGGCAGCCGAGATCGAGGGCTTCTTGGTGAAGACGGTCACCCCCCCTTCCATCGGCACGTGTCTGAAACCTGGCAAGCAGAAGGACTACATCGAGTACCAGAGCTATGAGGGAGCGGTGAACCTCGCCCCGGAGGTGATGCTTCCCGGGTTGGTCGGACACGTGTGGTTCGAGGACGAGGACAGGCGCCATTCAGTGTATCGCCTGGGGGGGCCATGCAAATGGCCACTAATGGAGGCAGAGAACCAAAGGTTGCAGAAGCTGTTCGTGGCCGACAAGAAAGCACCGACAGGGACGGTAAGACAGCTCACCCCCCAGGAGGTGTGGATTGCCCAGGGAAGGACGGAGAAGGAGTGGGAAGCCCTCGTTGAGGTCATGGGGGAGACCACCGCGTGCAGGGAAGGCTGCCGGGCCACTGGGAGGAGGACAGCTTTGAGTCTCTTAGGGGCGGTGGCCGAGCTAGCCAAAGAGCAAGGGAGCGAGAACAAAGCCGGCATGTGCATCGACCGGGAGGATGTCAAGTCATTGAGCGCGCTGCTGACCTGGCTGAGGAGGTGGCGCAGGGGCGACTTCGGTCGGTGTGGACCGGATCGAAAGGCAGGAGGGCATCCTGGTCAGGCTGTATGGTTTTGGGGAGAAGATCTATGGCTTGGCGCTTTGGAGATGCTGGAGTGCGAGGAGGAGCGCAAGTGTGGAGGTCGACCCCAAGGTAAAGTGAAGAAGGCTGTGGAGGTGGGCGGCAAGTTCGTCAACCTGAACCCGGACTTCAACGAGGACTATGCCATCCAAGCTCAAGTGGAAGAATGGCTTGAGGAGCACCTTGTGGGAGACAAGGCAGTGAGCACGCAAAGGGCCTACAACTCGGCTTGGCAGAAGTGGTGCGATTGGGGTAAGCGGCAAGGCTGGGCTTCGCCGTACCTGGACTACAACGGGGACATCCTGACGAACGAGAACAAGGTGCTGGGCTACTTGGGCTACCTGGGGTGGTTGGGAAATTCGGTGGCCACCATGAAGCAGGCGGTGTTCGCGATCAAGGATGCGCACAAGAGGGCTGGGCATGGAGACACC